GCCATTTATTCCCTGATGAACCTGGAGCCAATGTGTACCATTGATTTGCAATCAGGGTTTTACAACTCCCCTAGGTGGATCTTCTGTACCCAACAACTCTGTTAAAGAGCCGCACATTCGCTTTCCATCCTCTCGATTTCGCAAACAACACCCCTGACACAAGAAGGCAATGAGCATGAATCCCTTGGCAGTGTCTACACACGTGTAGCCATATAGGAGCATTTCGAGAGGAGGAGTGGATTCTCACCACCTTCTGTCGTACCAAGGGGTCTGGAGCCAATCTTCTTCTCAGTTGTTCGTGTCTGTCACTGACCTGCCTGTAAGTTTACTACAATTTGATAGTTTTCAAATTAGTTAAACGTTTCTATTTCTGTTGTTATGACACGGTGAATGAAATACGAAGCTTCAAGAAGACAAGATATGTAATGATGCAAACAAAAATCCGAAATAAACAAACAATGGATAGTATACATACGGTTGTTTTCAGAAACTATGAACCGAAATATACTAAAACCTGTGACAAAAGCTAAATTGAAGCAATCTGCTTAGGTTACACGGATGGCAATAAAGACTGATCAATTGAGGTCTTGAATTTCAATAATGTAATATCACAGATCATTAAGAAAAACATCATACCCGTTGAACAAGTTAATGGCCATATAGATTCAGTAGCTTAGTTACTCAGTCATATACAAAGTAGGAATTAGCAAATTTGTCGATCAGTTTGAGTTGATATCATGATGAAACTGTCAAAACAAGTCCCAGTGTAAGAAGTCAATCAACCGGTTGGACGGATGTATATTAGTAGCGAAAAGTTACAAGGTATTTACATAATACATATGCACAGTCATTAATTGCCCATATGCATCATTCAGTGTGTTTTTGCCGTCTGACCTCCAAGTGTTTTGCCAACGCTGAGCTTCCGGTGTACTGAAACTCTTTACTCGGGTTGACAATTGTTGCAAACTTGATGCCACGTTCCGCTGTGTACTACTTACAAACAACCCTATGAGTAGCGTCCACTACACCAGTAACTTAGTGGATAATCCATTGGTGTTTACAGTGATAAGCACTGAGTATAAGTTCCGGTGTGAATATTAACATTGGGACCTAGATACATCCAGCTAACAAGTCCAAGAATAGAATGAAACGAGTATCTTGGATCCCATTACTAGCCGTAAACAATTCGTTCTATTGAACTTATGCAAAAAAACTGTATCTAGTCAATATCTACACTATACATATATACCAAAGTTAATTGATCAAATTTCAATTCTGAGTATTAAAAAGAGGAATCAGGAAGAAGCGCATATTGAGAAAAGCACCCAACTGCGTCACAAGGCAAGTACTCACTTGGAATTCTTAAGGCCAAAGGAGGAAAAGAAGACTTAAGAACACATTACGTTGAGAAATGGAGATAGACATGAGAAGAATAAATAACAATTGGATAGAACTAGAAAGGAATGCCCAGGAAAAAGTGGGTTGGAGAATGCTGGTCAGTAGCGTATGTTCCATTAAGAGTAACAGGCATAAGTAAGTAAAGTAAAGGTAAAAATTTAAACCATTACTAGTAATGAAATAAATCTGATCTAAAGTTTGAATTAGTGTATTAAGTTCACATATTGTAAGCAGATCATAAATAATCGTCACTATATCAATGTAAAAACTCCGCCTGTAGCTCTTCCAGAGTTACTGCCGGTCCCAAGCCCGGGTAAAGGAGGAGGGTTGGGTATGGGGTTAGCGTCCCCATCCCGTAGAAACCTAACTCGCTAAAAAAACGCTAACCAGAAAAAATAACTCAAACCAGTTAAACCCTGCCCTGGGAGTTAGAGGTAATATGACGCTTCATGGTGAAAGCCGAGTTCCTTCGGAAGCCACGAGGCCGATGCCCCTTCTAACAACCAGAGCAACAATTTTTATAGGTACATGGAACATCCGGACAATGTGGGAGACCGGGAAGACCAGTCAAATACCAACGGAAATGAGGAGATACAACTTGGCAGTACTGGGAATCAGTGAAACCCATTGGACCCAAGCTGGACAACAAAGGCTAAATACGGGAGAGATGCTGCTATACTCCGGTCACGAAGAGGAAAATGCTCCACACACTCAGGGAGTTGCTCTAATGCTATCCAAAGTAGCACGAAATGCACTTGTAGGATGGGAATCTCACGGATCCAGAATCATCAAAGCATCATTCAAAACAAAGAAGGAGGGTATCACAATGAACATTATCCAATGTTATGCACCTACCAATGATAGCAACGACGACGTTAAGGATCAATTCTATGAGAGGCTGCAATCAATCATAGAGAAGTGCCCAAGAAAGGACCTCACCATTCTGATGGGAGATCTAAACGCCAAAGTCGGAATGGACAACACCGGATATGAAGACATCATGGGACTGCATGGACTGGGAGAGAGAAATGAAAACGGGGAAAGATTTGCAAATCTGTGTGCATTCAATAAATTGGTCATAGGCGGTACAACATTTCCACACAAACGTATACACAAAGCTACGTGGATCTCACCGGACCACACCACAGAGAACCAGATAGATCACATTTGCATCAATAAAAAGTTCCGAAGGACAATGGAAGATGTGAAAACCAGGAGAGGAGCGGACATAGCTTCAGATCATCACCTAGTTGTGGCCAAATTGAAACTGAAGCTAAAGAAGAACTGGACAACTGGACAAACAGCACCACAAAGGTTCAATACAGCCTTCCTTCGAGATACTGACAAACTCAATGAATTCAAGGTAGCTCTCAACAACAGGTTCCAAGCCTTACAGGATCTACTGAAGGAAGAAGAAACTACTATGGAGGATAGCTGGAAAGGTATCAAAGAAACATTAACTTCAACGTGTCAAGAGGTTCTGGGCCCCAAGAAACATCATCACAAGGAATGGATCTCTACAGAAACACTGGACAGGATCAAAGAAAGAAAGAACAAGAAGACAGCAATTAACAACAGTCGAACAAGAGCAGAGAAAGTCCAAGCACAAGCAGAGTACATAGAAGCAAACAAGAAAGTGAAGAAGAGCATTAGACCTGATAAGCAAAAATACGTGGAAGAACTAGCAACGACGGCGGAAAAAGCTGCAAGAGAAGGAAATATGAGACAGCTTTACGATACGACGAAGAAGCTTGCAGGGAAATACAGTAAACCAGAGAGACCAGTCAAAGACAAAGAAGGAAGACCAATCACTGAGATTCAACAACAGCGCAACAGATGGGCAGAGTACTTCGAGGAACTCCTGAACAGACCGGCTCCAATGAATCCACCGGACATCGAAGCAGCACACACAGATCTTCCTATAAATGTCAATCCACCAACGACAGAAGAAATCAGAATGGCCGTCAGACAAATCAAGAGCGGGAAAGCAGCAGGACCTGACAATATACCAGCTGAAGCATTGAAGTCAGACATCGAAGTAACTACAAGCATGCTTCATCTTCTATTCAAGAAGATTTGGGAGGAGGAACAAGTGCCGATGGATTGGAAAGAAGGACACCTCATCAAGATTCCAAAGAAAGGAGATCTGAGCAAGTGTGAAAACTACAGAGGCATTACACTACTGTCAATACCGGGTAAAGTCTTCAACAGAGTGTTACTGAACAGGATGAAAGACGCAGTTGACGCTCAACTTCGAGATCAACAAGCTGGATTCCGTAAGGACCGGTCGTGCACAGACCAGATTGCGACACTACGGATCATCGTCGAACAATCAATTGAGTGGAACTCGTCACTCTACATCAACTTCATTGATTACGAGAAGGCATTTGACAGTGTAGATAGGAGGACGTTATGGAAACTTCTTCGACACTACGGAGTTCCTGAGAAGATTGTCAACATTATCCGGAACTCATACGATGGACTACAGTGCAAAGTAGTGCATGGAGGACAGCTGACAGATGCATTCCAAGTAAGGACCGGAGTAAGACAAGGCTGTCTACTCTCTCCCTTCCTGTTTCTTCTGGTGGTCGACTGGATTATGAAGACCTCGACATCTGAGAGAAACTACGGCATACGATGGACAGCTCAGAACCAATTAGACGACTTGGACTTCGCAGATGACCTAGCCCTCCTATCACATACACACGAACAAATGCAGATAAAGACAGCCAGCATAGCAGCAGTCTCTGCATCAGTAGGCCTCAACATACACAAAGGGAAAACCAAGGTCCTCAAACACAACACGGAGAACAGCAATCCAATCACTCTTGATGGCGAAACTCTGGAAGACGTGGAATCCTTCACATACCTGGGAAGCATCGTCGATAAACAAGGAGGTTCAGATGCAGACGTCAAGGCGAGGATTGGCAAAGCTAGAGCGGCATTCTTTCAACTGAAGAACATATGGAACTCAAAACAACTTTCAACCAATATCAAAGTCAGAATCTTCAATACGAACGTCAAGGCAGTTCTACTGTACGGAGCTGAAACTTGGAGAACTACAACAACCACCATCAAGAAGGTACAGGTATTTATTAATAGCTGTCTACGCAAGATACTCAACATCCATTGGCCGGATACCATCAGCAACAGCCTTTTGTGGGAGAGAACCAACCAGCTTCCAGCTGAAGAGGAAATTAGGAAAAGACGATTGAAATGGATAGGACATACATTGAGGAAATCATCAAACTGCATTACGAGACAAGCGCTAACTTGGAATCCTGAAGGGAAGCGGAAAAGAGGAAGGCCAAAGAACACATTACGTCGGGAAATAGAAGCAGATATGAAAAAGATGAATAAGAACTGGAAAGAGCTTGAAAGGATTGCCCAGGACAGGGTTGGATGGAGAATGCTGGTGAGCGGCCTATGCTCCTTCACGAGGAGTAACAGGCGTAAGTAAGTAAGTAATATCAATGTAAAATTTAAGGTGATTATTAAACATAGCAACTATATACATAAATCATATAATATATATAAAAAGTAAATGAACTTTTAACAAATCAATTAAATACGTTTATATTATACATAACTATAATACTTACTAGAAGAAGTATGAGAAGAATTATCATTATTTTGTGAATTATTTAAAATAGAAGTTGATGAATCTTTAGAAATGTTTGTTGAATTCATTTTAAATTTCTCTTTAGATCTTGAAGATTTATCTGATGTTATTTTTGATTGCATAGAAGAATTATTTATTTTACGATTATTCTTATTATTATTTAAACCTTCATTAGCTTTTTCCTTTTCTTTAAGATTTGTATTCATTCTAGACCAAATAGGATCTAAAAGTTAAAAGAGTAAAATATAAACAATAATAATAATAATAGTAATAATATGTAAGAAAGTTGCTGCTAACAAAACACCAAATCTATATAAAAATATGCATCAGAAGGGATTTTGTGGAGATTGTAGTAAGTTCAATAGTTGAGATCATGAGTCAATTGAAGCTATACCACCATGGAAAACCTGGGAGCACTGGACGGCCGTTTCACCCTATTGTGGGACTCCTCAGCAGTGCGCATCCACGACCCCGCCTCGTGGGATTCGAACCAAGGACCTATCAGTCTCGCACCAGGCGCTTAACCAACTAGACCACTGAGTCGGCGTCCAGTGGTATTAATGTCTAACCAGGACCTTGGGTTAATACGTTATCCCAAGTTACTATACCAAATCAACATAACGAAATTAAATTAACGTAACGAACAGCAATACTGATAAAAAGAAAAACTACAAGTTTAGAATATGACACAAGAAGGTTGAATAAAAAAATATATGTAAAGGAACACTAGAATTCAAGATCTGGAGGGTGAATCCATTCGAGCAATTGTGCCCCTTCTCACCCAATATCTACAATCATTAGCCATCATAATAGCGTGGACACTAAATGGGTGGTTTACACCTACCGACATGGCTCAATCTAACAGTCAATGACTTCATGGATTGACGTCACATCTTGATTTGGCAGCTCCTAGCTTTCATCTAACTTGCTTCTACATCCAGATAGACGATGACTAGGGATACATAAAACATGGTCTAACCATCTCAGCCGCTGGACATTGACAGATCAATCAATTCGCGATCGTTTCTGAGTATCATATACCTAACGTCAATAGAGATCCCTCGACAACTTCACGGTACGCTAGCAATGGTTCGGAGATATCTATGATCAAAAACTTGTAGTCTACATTGCAAGGCTGTTGAGACTTGTTATCTTGTACCATATGAACCCAAGTATACTGTTCATATTCCCTAAGGCATTTAGACTGTTCCGAACTTTATATATCGATAAGTCATCACAATAGCTTGCTGTGCTGTCCAGATATCATCCTCTTACTGAGACTTTAAATCATTAAAGATTTTAGGCAGAACAAGTCCAAATAACTTACTGTCCAACAACTGAATCCTTTATTTATCTTTTCTTATTGAAGATTAATTCATTTCTTATATTCGGTATCGAGTTTTTTTTTATTTTAAGTCTTTGTGTTGGATTTCAAATGGATTTCATCTCAGAAATGTAAGTATCTTATCATCATACAGAAAACGAGCACGTGGATTGAGTACGTATCGATCCCAGTCGGCATACACCAAATTAGAGCAGGGAGAAAGAAAATCAACAAAATGAGTTAGCAACGTATGACAAATTCAGTTTCCTTTTACATTTCTCCACAATATTATCGCCTTATTCTTCGTGACTTATTCTCTCAGTACCTCATTGTCCTTGAATTCTTGTGTATTATGGTTAAATTAATGTCTTCAATCACAAACGACAAATAATGCGCGCAACTAACCAAGAGACTCGCACTTACCAACAGTTAACAGTGTCATGGACTGATACTATATTTTGATTTTTCTACCCGCAGATTTTTTTCAACTTATTCCTGTCAGTTAGCACTGCATAACTGAGAAGTGACTAGACATGCATGACACATATCATAACTACCTAGGTCGATAAAAACTGGTAATTTCACCCATCGACTAGCCATTTCAACCTATTACTTCACGACTAACTTTAGCATTGCCCATTTAGTGGATGCACACTGAACGAACAATGGATTAAAGACAATTAGGATCAGATAACTGCAGCCTATACATACGTTCTGTTATAATAGATCATATAGAGAGAACTCCTGAGCAGCATGCTCACTCTTTGGTAGAACGCAAACATCCTAACTGTGCCACAACCGGCACATACAAAAACCAACACCAACATACAACAGACATTTACGTAGTTAGGTGAAATTAAAATATAAACAGTACGCCATATATTTTAGATTAAATAATAATAACGCAATGAATTAATGATTTGAATCAGATCACAGTATTTATTTTTATGGAAATTAAAAGGAATCTATATCAACATGTCTGACTGAAATAAGGCATTATTAGACTAAATGCAAATGTAGTACAAACATTTCACCGAATAACAATATACATACTTTGTTCAATGCATACAAAATCAGTGTCAGATACATTGTTATCATTTGTAATACCACCATTATTACCAATGTTTGGTTGGTGAGCATTATCCATAACAGCGGAGAGGCTAGCAGATTGTTGTATTAAGGATAAACGATAGAAATAATTTCTCCAAAATATCTCTTCACTAATTCTATAGGACAAAAATGGGATGTAATAGTGTATTAAGATGATTTAAAATTATGAAGCATAAAAATGAAGAAATATCACCGTTGATTTTGTTTTTAATTAAGAATTCTCCCTTTACCCTAACCTATTTACGTAGAATGTAATAAGTAGAAAAATTTGGTTCCATTTGAGAATTAATCATAATGACAAAAAGAAAACTGGTAGGGGAGATTGGTAGAAACTTCCCTACCGATAATCAAGAAATTTCATAGAGGTTAAAATTCAAGGATTCAACTTGGTTTGTGTAGATTTTTTGTGCATGTATTGGAAGCAGTGATTCTGTCAGCATAGAGATATTAATGATGAAATCATCCACACATGCATATAATTGATGTTTATAGAGTTGCATAGTTGGTAAGATAATTCTCTTATTTTCGATGAACAATTATGGTTCAGAACTGTGAAACATTTATCGTCAACTTAGTTAACTGTACATGTATTAAAGAATTCAAGTAATTATCCAATTATCGCGGTAATTTGAACAGTTGGTCACTGGAAAAAAGTCGATCGATAGGCAGACGATATTAAGAACATACGTTTTTGAACTATCATTACCTTCAAAGTATCGGTTACACTTAATGTTTGGAAACCGATTCAATCAATATTATGATCATATCATTTTAGCATGAACAGAAAAACAACACTTCATACCTGATGGTTGAGCATAGTCCCTCCTCATTTCTGTGTAACGTTTACCACAGGTAAGATGAAAATGATGTAGTCTTTGAACATGTATTTGGATCATTTATTTACTTACAATTGGGGTTGAGTTACATAATATTGTAAGAATAATCTCGATGAAATAAAAATTCCCGAAACAACTTATCAAAAAAGATATGGTTCACTAATATAAATTACGCAAGTTTGTGTAAGAGCATCGTATAATAATTTAATTCATTCATTATATAGAGGTTCATGTACTCAGGCTCAAGACCCACTATGAGAGCTAGTGACATTACCTAGCCTGTCTTAAATGAAGTATATATAGATTAATGTTCGTGTCTAAACTATATGGCTTGACAGTCGAGTGCATTAATCAATAAACTACATAGTTACATCGACTGGTTGACAGAAACGAATTAATGTGGAAACAAAAAATCAGCTAAATATATTGACTATGATCACAACATGAGTCTTTTTCGTGGAATACTTCTTAATAATCTCAGTAAAGCAACGAGGTAGAGAAATCAGAAACACACTAAGTGAGCCTTCCTATTCATATGATTATATAAAGCTAAAAAGAGATGCTTTGGATCAAGTTCATCTCCTTTGAGTAACACAATGACTAATAAATTAAAAACCTGTATTTTCTAGATAGTCAGTAACGTGCTAGACCATGATAAGTGATTTGGAAAGGTTAACTTTTAGATCAATTATTATGCACAACTTACTTGCTAGGGACAAGTAGATACCTTATAGAACCTAAATTAGGATCTTCTTTTAAAAGGATTTGAGCTTCACGTAATAAATTGTCAGGTATTGGTGATGTCCATTTGAGTTGAGCTTCTTCAGGAGGAGAAATAAGAAAGTTATTCGGATTTTGACTTAAAGCTAAGATTTGTTCTTTCAGTGAAGATAAAGCATCAGAATCACTTAGTCCGCATATATCGGGATGCCATGGTGGAAGTTCAGATTGAGATGATGAACGAAAACGGATTGCTTCTTCATTCTTATTTTGAGATGTTACAGCAAAGTCAGCTTGAGCTTTTTCAAACTCACGTATGAGTGGGACCTCGTAGATATAAAAAGATAGGAATCTTACTGAGTTTATAGACAGTAATAGTTCAACAATTTTGAAAAAAGCCTAACATAAACTGAAATAGCATAAAATTTGATGATTTAAGATTATTCACTTACAAAAAACAAGTCGACTGCTTATGGGTGGGATAATATTATGAGGAAGTCAATATAACTAATTGGGTCTTAGTTGAAAGTTAGCTACAATCTGGTGAGCTAGTCATAATAAAACGTGAAGCATAAAATAAGCTAATATATGTACATCGACTGAACGAATTTTGAAGCGTGAATTCTGTCGAAGGTCAAAATGTAAAGGGTACAAATGAAGTCATACTATCTGTTGACGTCGAAGAGAAGGTAAAAAGACCAAAGTAGGAAAAGTGAAATACGGTGGAGAGAGCCTTAATATTCCGTATCGATGAGTCAATCACTACGACTGCTTTTCGGAATCTTGTTTCAAGCCTCTCCCAACCAATAATAAATAAAGATGATGTATACGATATGTCGGACGAGAATTAAATTTAACAGGTTTTAATCTTATTGATACTTGAGTAACCTACGAAATCAGTATCGCCCAATCGCTTACGTTTTAAATAACTTTTAGTTATGTATATTTTTGCGTTTAACGTTCTTCACATAAGTAAGTTATCTCATTACATAAAAGAAAGCCTATTCTACTTGGCATGTCTTATTTTCAAATATTTGTTTATCTGTATACTCACGTCAACAACCTAGTCTCGTGAGCCGTTGTTACTTGGTTACGTTACATCGTTGCACTGGATCCATTGATTAGCGTTGAATTTATTTATTTATTTATTTATTTTAACACATAGGTATAGGTACAAGGAGGCACCAAATACATATGCGCCACACGAATCTCAATTGATTTGTGTGAGGGCTGTGATACTGCCCGGGTGCCCAAACCGAAGCAGGTGGTTTTCTTAGGGGGCCACACCCCGAGCCTTAGCGTTGAATCCATACATCTTATTAATCTAAAAACTCAAATCACTAACCCGTAATTCTCAATGGTCTAGCTTAGCGATTGTTGATAAAAAAAAGTGGACACAAACAAACTATATCGTTATTGATCATCGTCCAGATATTTCTGCTTACATGAAAAACATTTGCAGAATTTCAATTATGAACGAGTTAATAAATTTGTGTCGGAATAGATGAGAATAACACCTTGGCCGTTTTAAGCATAAATGTGTTTATGCAAGGAAAATTAGGTGGACTGAAAACATGTGTAAAGTAATTCAAAGTTGACCTGACCTGATGTTATGAGGGAAAGAATGAAGACGAAATGACGAACTATGAAAGGTACTTTCCGGGACGTTAATTCACTAAATCCCTAATCTGAGTATGCGACTTCCTTTATCATAAATTTTCTTTTAATTTATGAATTATTGTCTTCTAGGATTTAAAATTTGAAAATTTAAACGCGAGCTTTAAATCATATTCTTCTACCTTAAAAGCCCTATTTTTGGCATATATTGCATTATTCCGCTTATTATGAGCTATGGTCCAAACACTCATACATTTGGTTGTGTACTCTTTTGATCTAGAAAGCATTCAAACATAGAGATTTTCTGCTACCGTCGTCTTTTATCTTCTCTTGCCAACTACTAAGTGTCGGCGTAGCAGATCATTAGTCACCGAACAGAGCAGTTTTTTGCTCCCAAGGTTAATCACTCGCAAGTCGAACCCATGCATTTGCAGTCTCAAAGTCATATTTAGCAGCTTAGAATATCAGGGCTATTAACAGGTCCTAAAAAAATCTTCTTGTATATCTAACTACAGAACAGGTAGCTAGACAAAAAACATAACACCTGATAAAGTAATTTGTCTATTGGATAGGTGGCAAATGTAGTAAACTGCAAACCTCACTCCAACTGGTTAGCGTTATGTAAAAGTCGGAAATTACTTGAAATATTTAACACACTTAACGTGAACAAGTTGATGAATAATGAAATGACCAGTGAAAACTCAAGATGTTGAGAGAAATAATGAGAGGTAGTTTGAATAATTTTGCACAACTTTTCAAATCCCTTTGTTTCAGCTTCAATCTACAGAAAAAGTTTGATTTTCTGATTATGAAGGTCTGATAAGATAGTAACAAAGTAACAGCTAGACTGATGTACTTTCCGCAAATGAAAATTGAGAAATCCTTCTAAAGACTGATCATTTTAGTTTTCAGAGATCTGGGATTCAAAAATAGCAAACGATTGCTAACTAGAGGATATTCAAGTGCAGATGAGCGTATTGATCAGGTATCCTGAAGTAACGAGGAAATTACATTTAAGACAGCATAACTCAAAAACTTTTAGCATACACAGAATGTCGAACAAATATACTGTTACCTGGTAAATTTTATTTGGACATACAATTGTTAAAAATTATTTTCTTGCACTTATTAGGAGTGGTCTGCAGTGATACCTAAACTGAGTGTAAAACTAAACCGTTGAGAACATAAACCGCCCTCTCAAAATTATATCAAACACAATAAGATGGTCACCAACAAAATTTTGATTGGGATGAAGTAGGCTAAACATTTTTCAACGTTTTGACTAGATTTGTATACACCGTTTATTTATTTATTTATTTATTTATTTATTTATTTGAACATAAATATTGGTACAGAGGGGCACCGAATACATATGCGCCACACGTCACTTGATTTGTGTGTAGGTTGTGATACTGCCCGGGTACCCAAACGAAAACAGGTGGTTTTCTTAAAGGACCACTCCCCGAGCCTTTGACCTAGAGGTCTAAGTAGTAGTATTAGACTCAAATCTATAGTGTAAACCTTCTATTCTCAACCGAAGCTAATGTTTCATGATTTTCGAGATCGGTCTTCCTTAACGTGCTGTCTGCATAATGAACCAATCCCGATGAGTTGCGTCCAAAACGTTTCCGAACGATGAATATAACTGGAATCGAATTCGAAATTTACTTTTCCGTGTCACAGCAAATACCGTTTAGAATGATTGCTCAGCTAAGGGTTTGAATTAAACTGGGGTTGAATTTGAGTAGAGAAATAAGATCAAAGCGTGGAAACTAGAAATACAACGGCCTGCTCTTATGGTGTAATAGTTTCTATAATTGCACTTGATAAGGGACAATGTATTAAAGGCCAACGGTCATATTAACAACCATATACTTGAGGGTATTACAAAGTATGTACAACACAGTGGTGATGCGAATTCTACAAGTAGTCCGACTATATGGCTGACTATATTGACAGAATTGCAATTAAGGAGAATAAGAGTTTCCTGCACTGTGCTATGGACTGGACTACAGTTACTTAGCAAACGAAAATACAATTTCCCTACTCGATAATCATCCTCATTAAGTTTGTAATGTAGAATGACATGATCTAGAAGAGTTGTGTTCTCCACTTGGGTATGTGGCTCAGAAACATTGCTCAGTTTACTAAAATCCAAGTGAAAAACACGATTTCCTTGAGTCTTGTAATACAGTTGAAATTTCAGACTGTAACTCGTAAACACATACTCAGACTACCCTTGATACAGATATTAGATATACATCTTACTGAATTAAAAATCCAAATGAGTGACGGACAAATAAAAACCAAACATTTACATCTAATAAAGCACTTCGATTGATAAATACTGGTGAATATATGTACGAATAGACAAAAAAATGGAAAAATGTAAAACAGGACTTTCAAAAAGCCTCACCTGTTTGACAGAAGCTGTTACATCACTTACAACTGATTTGATTTCGGTTAAATCTATTCGATCACTAAGTCTTTTAACTGCTTCCTCACTGGACTTCACGGCTTTTGAAAATAAATAACCTAAGACAAAGGTTCAGGAATACCACGGAAAGCTTACTTCCCCATTCTTTTGCAGCAGAAAGTTTGTCTGATATTTCCTTCTGAATATCTTTTCCAACTGAATCACAAACTTCGGCATCGGACATAACGTAACGCAGTCATAGAAACAACCGCTGGACTTCAATAAAACTTCACCATCATTTCCACTAAAATGCATTATAAAAAGCTTCTCTAATATCTTCGTAACGAGCCTTTAAAAATCGATTGACATCAGATCCTAACTATACAATCCTAAAAGATGAACATTAAACAACTGTGAAAAAAGATATTCAACATTTAACGTGGATATAAACCCAACGGTAGACAAGGCGAGAAGAATTGATTAAATTAGTTCGAGTTAGTCGAATGGCGTGTATCGGCCTTGCAGGCGTGGTCCTACTTACGTAAAAGTTTTGTATCTATAAATCTGTTCTTCAACATATATTGATGATGACCATAATTCCAGAGATTTCTTCTCGTGTCGCTACATTTCCGGGTATTTGGTAATGTCTGTTGGGGACGATAGATCCCCAAAAGCTCATAGTTTGTGATTTATCTTGTGGAGCTTGTATGCAGATGTATACGTGGGCATTTCTTACCACCCACGCACATAGTTGTTTGACGAATTTATCGATTAAATGTTTAAATATTTCAATGGCAGTCAATTGACGAACAATGTCCAAATGTGGTATTCTGTTCATTCGATCACGCTCATTCTGATAAGCTTTGTAGTTACTTGGGGATTTCTATATCTTTATTTTAAGAGAATGCGATTGTTTCAGGAGATTATGGGTCCTGCATGCCAGCAGCTATCATGTTACTAAACAGGAGGTTGTTTGTGTAGCGGTAAGAAAAATCCCCAGGATCGGATTGTCCTTTAAGTTTTTAACATTTGACGCTGACCTCATTAATTTTAATGAACACGTATAACTGAATGCGCTCGGTCACGTATGGGTATGTCGTGATCTACATCTCACACAACTGTTAGCCAGCTTAGATCAAACACTTTTCGAGTTATAGACAGCCTTTCAAACATAACTTCGAACCTCTTCATTTCTGACTTCTGATTCGAAAGGGTTGGTATACTTCGATTATGAATGTTTGACTGGTAAAGGCGTTGTCAAACTCTGTATACTTGTGGCATCTTTATTTGGCTGCAATTTGAAAATAATAAAGTGGTAATTCGAGTGCTACGAGAAAACGATTGTTTCAAGAATAATAAGTTAGTTGATTAGAAATATTTAAGAAGATGAAACTGAAAGAATAAGAGGGAACCACAGAAAGTGGTTACTGACATTCTGTAATGATAATCGTTGTAAATCATGAGACATGCATGAGACACAGCTGGTCCAAAAGGGAAACGGTAATCTGTCTGTCAGTATGTGTCCATCAAGTCTCACTTTTAAGTTATCCACTGATAGGCTGTGGTGACCTTGTTTGGGGAGCATTTCAGATGGGAGCAATTCATAATGGCAAAAAACTGAAAACGGAATTGAGTATTCGCTCTCTGACGTGTTATCTTTAAGGGTTACCTAGAGAAGCGTTGTGATGACGTTCTAGTAGTATGCTCAATTTTGGATGACTTCGCGTGCTTAATTTATTGTATGCCATTATCAGATCACCCCATATTTTTCAGTAGCTCAACGAGAATAATTCCAGCTATTAGAATCTATCCCCAAAAGACCTATCTTTTAGATATATCATCAGAAATTGGGCTCCGAGTGTAGGGAAGTCATTATATTTGAAATAATCTCAGCGATTGAAATTTAAATAATTCCAACGTTTCGTCTAGCTAACTTGTTTGGTTTAACACAATATAGTTTTTATTGTTTAAAAGCTAAATATTTCTTCGATGATTTTGATTATTACCATGAAGAGGTTTAGACAATTTAGCTGGACGAAAAGTTGGAACTATTTAAATTTCAATCGCTGAGATTATTTCGAATATAATTTTCACATATAATATCATCTACTTAGTTCCTCGTCTTTTTAGTTGCTCTAAGAGACATCGTTTAAGAAGTGGCGCATCGACGATGTGGGCTTTAAGTTGGTGCCGTACGCACGTTTTAGGAAGCGCTCAGAACAACTCTGGAGTGACCGTGCAAAATTGTTTACATATGAGGTACTGTCAAACCGGTACCTTATGGCTCAAGCAGGTCATCCAGGTTCATAATCTATGAGTAGATTGATAGCACAGGACCTGCCTTCCCTAAACGCGTGTTAGGCTTCGTAGGGATGTTTTCATAAATATATCCTCTCATTTTCTGTTCATTTGTCCTGTCGTTACCTTCGATAGTATTAGAAGTATTGGGACTAAGGTTATTTACATTCACATGTGAGATGTGTTGTCCCACTGATTGTATAGCAAATACACCTTATAATATACCAACCTAACTGAGCAACTCATTATAGTAAAACATGTATCATCTGTAACGGTTTGATTTGGTCTTTAATCTGGTAGACCTCATGTAACATCTTATTATTCGAGAATATTTATTATTTTATTTTTGTCATGCTTTCTTCCACACATTCACCTATGCTCGCTTCCACCTGTAGAAAGTTGCCATAAGGTTATGACCAACCTACGAACGACTGAAGTCACAAATATTTCTTTTTAAATAAAGAGGTTTGTATACAGTTTCTGGACGAATATGCTATTTGAGGTATCTGATTTGTGGAAACTTTTAGGGGTCATGTGAACATCAAATTACTATTTTTTGCCTGTCCTTCAACTAACTTGTGTCTCATATCTTCTACCAACTTTGAAGGTTTCCGAATAGCTAACAATCGCGCAATAGTCCTGCGGTGAAGAGCAGTTTAACGTAAATTTTAAGATATATGGTTTTGAATGCTTCAAAGGGAAGACTTCGAGGAGGTCGGGCCAGGACAGATTTTTTGCTTTCATTTGTCAGTATCTACTGATAAAAATTTTTTGCCTCAGATTCGTCTGTAGATCTATACAAGGAGAAAAAGTGGCATTTTAAAGACGAGGGAGAGTAGTTTGATCATGAATTCAATTTGCCTGTTATTTTCACACAGCACCAAGTTTTAGTCAAAAGAGAGTGTGATTAATAACACATGCATTTTCTATGATTAAATATCTTATGTTTCAGTTAAACCGACAATACCATATACTATGTACTTCCGAATTGGGTTCCTCATTGTGCCCAGCCAAAGTTCTAGACTTATTGGGATTGGTACTAATTCGTTTTATTACTTCAAACTCATAGAGTATTCCTAGTATAACGTTCGTAACTTTAAAGATCAGCGATAATTCTCGTCTTTGTTACTGACTCAGAATCGTCCAAATGTCAATGTGTGAAAACAATTGTTCATCGCTGTTTATAGTATATCTTATCATATGTCCAGATGGTGTATTTTGCCTGGTCACGAAAATAATCATTTTAATTTGATAGGGGATCATATTATCATCATGTGTAACCGATCACCCATGGAATTGTTAACTATATCTTATGAACTTTTACATGTGCTTAACTTTGGTGTCCTTAGCACCTGTAATTTTATTCGCTTTCTATGATTTATACATTGTTCACTTTATGCAAGTGCTGAGTTTGTGCCAGACAGACGATGAGTATATATACAAGGCTAATACGGGCGTATATTCTTTCAATATAAACTGGAGTCAACTGAGGGCCATTTAAGGCGTGAAAACAAAATCATCCGGCAGTTATTTCAACGTGATATACATATGTTCTGAGAGGTCCGAGTCAGTTGTATATTTACATAACCCAAGCGTCTGTGTAATCGATAACTTAGATCTAGCCTAGGAGTAGGATACCTACTTTCTACTGCTTAATTCTGACGAATAGGATGCCAACTGTAGAGAAAATCTTTCTTAATACATCCACTTTACTGATTTATGAGTGGATGACAATAGAAGTGTGGAATAAAACAGCTAAAATGTGTGTGAGAATACAAAGACTTAGGAGTCATAGCGAGTCACGACTTGAAGACAACTAAACATTGCAATGCAGCAGCCGCCAAAGGTTTCCGAGGGTTATGGTCACCTTGCCGAACATCCTAAAGCTTTGACGAGATGTTTCTGATTTAATATCCCACCTATCCAAGACCAAATATAGGGTACCGTATCCAAAATGCCGGCCCATTTCTTACTAAGGACACTATGGGTAAACAAAATTAACGAAGAGTCTTCCAAAACACCTTCACGACGAGAGCTCAAGAGCCCGAACCTTTTCCCGTTATCGAATACTAGATACAAGATGACCTTATATTGATATTCCGTATCTTTGATTACGATTTTGATGTGAACATGTCTTATTATTTTGCTTCCTCTGGAATTAGTAACCCTCAAGACCATGCCAAGAAAGTTCAAAAACCACGGTTTAATAGACACGGAATGAGGTTCCGTTTTTATCATCTAGTGGTCAGTGCATGGAACGACTTATCCAAACAAGTGGTATCAATCCCATCAACGAACATTTTCAAGGAGAACCTGAACTTTTCCTGGTAAACAAAGAATCGAAACCTACTATTCTTATTATTGAGGATTGATAGGATGACAGTCATCGGTTGGCTGAATCCACTAAAACAGTTATTGCCAGATTGACAAGCGTTAAAAGAAAGACTTTAATAAAGATAGAAAGTTTCTAAGTACTATCGAAACGATTATAAGGATGATCAGATACATTGCACAAATGCACCAGTTTATTACGAACGTACCGTTTATTTGACAGCGGCTGTTACAAAGTCCGTTCCAGTACTTGAGCAACGTAATCAGGTGTAAGCATGACGTTGAATGATACAGAAGTGCAACGTCAGGTAACCTACTTTGACGATTTGTATTTATCACATTATTAAGATTCGTCACATGATGGCGTTTATAGACCAGGAAGCTCGAGAAAAGGTGGAGGAAATAGATGCCAAAGTTCGTTGATTAATTGTCGTGACATTATAAACTTCTACAGGCCGAAGAAGAGTTTCAAATAGAAAAGTCCCGTTTAGTACAAAATCAGCGGCTCAAAATAATGGAGTACTATTCAAAAAAGGAAAAACAGATAGAATTAACCAAGAAAATGTAGGTTTTCTTCCGTCTTACTATGCTTGTCTTTATTTAGTCAGGATTCTAACTTAAAAAACCAGTCTCGTCTCAAGGTTTTGCAGAGCAGAGAAAATCACATCGAAGTACGTTCTGTAAATTACATAGCTTTTGCAGATGTTGCTTAAGGAAGCTCGGGAACGTCTACGGATGGTTACCAGAGATCGGGATGTTTATCAGAAATGCCTTTCAGGACTTGTCTTAGAGGTAAAGTTTGGGCAGTCATGTTCTACTGATTTATATCATTCTCGATTTTAGTGGCTAGTCTGATCCTCATTCCGCATTCTTTATACGTATCTAAACTTGTTTTCTGGTGAATAATATTTAAGGTCCTCCATGCTTGTGGAAAGTTACATTCATGAAGTCACTTTATACTAGAAGCAGTTCAGTCTAAAGGCTAGATAAACAAATATAACATTTATTCTTATTTGTCTATGATTAACACGAATTACGCGTAGGCAATCGTATTAAACTAAGTATGGAAAGTGTTTGGAAACTATGCGAGATTAAAGAATAAAAGGTATGAAATAGTACTAAGTTGGCGATCAAGTCTATTGTAATCTTTTGTTTTCTTAGCAGTGTTCAAGTAGATTTTTTTGGTACAATTATTACCACTCGTGATAAAAGGTAATCAACATACTTTGTTTCTCGTAACTTCCTTTACTCGTATGTTATCCCTAGTTAGGGTCACATATTGTGCCTCATTGACAATAATGGTAGGGAAATAGTAATCAGTTTTCTTCCATTATCGAGCTTCTCAACAGTTTTTGAATGTCATTAAAGAATGATTGAATAAGTATATCAACAATCTTTTTTGAATTTGAGTTGATTTAATCTATAAACCAACGTGAATAATGCCAATTACGTCATAATTTTTGCACTTGATTTTACTTGGTATTTTTAATAACGTTATTGATGTCAGCGAAATTGCAAAATATGAATACTGAGTACACTAGCCAATTTTTTGACTAAATTGTGTTAATGTACTCGGAACGTTCTTAGTTAATATTAAAATATCAAACATTACAACAGTATAATACCCTCAAAATTGTTTTGCCATTTTACAAATATTTCCAGGGGCTTTTCCAGTTACTGGAACCAGAAGTTATTATCAGATGCCGTCAAGTTGATCGTGATTTAACGCAAGTATGTCCTCATTCTTCTAACTGTAATATCTTATTTTTTGTCAACCCATTCCACAATGTACACCCTCCACAATAAAAAATGTAAAAATTCCAATTTCAATTTTTAGTATAAATATGATAACGGTTGCCGGTATGTTTAGCATCTTAATTGCTGTCTACTTTGGTGGTAGATTAACATTACAAAATGTGTCTCAACTGTTGTGTGAATTGTAATCATTATTGAGTACTAGAAAAAAATATTGGTAATTAAGAAGTTGAATGTGGTATCACCAGTTATTTTACAACAAAAATCATTCTGGAGTGGGACCTCAAGTTATGCCAAAGATGTGAAGATACGCTTAGATGTGTACAAATGTCTGACATTGCTTATTTTTACTAGGTTAGGTTCTTCATTTTTATTATTTTACGGGATTAAGACATTTCCAATTTAACAAAATATCCTCATTCTTGTTCTTATACGACATTCTTATGTATCAAGGTAAATATCATCGTAAATCAACAGATAATTATTAATCATCACTATTCCTTAAGTCAACCCGATTGTCCTACAAAATTCTTTCATCTCTAACTTTAGAATGTTGTACCAGAATGTATTGCCGCCTATCGAAAGCAGACGGGTACTGATTGCAAAGTCACAATTGATAACAACTATTTACCTGATAACCTGTAAGTCAATATCAAGTGTTTTTGTATTTAAACACCAAGTTACCAGTTATCTATAATTAGGCTAACCAAATTAGATACAAAATATTGTTATGGGTTAATACATCCTACTCAACCAGTGAGATACATTTTCTAGCTCCACCCAGTCTATTTTATGTTGCGCAGTCAAATCGTATCATTAGCCCGTACAAAAATGTGTGACTCAAAACGGCATTTCCGTACTCGTACATTATCACTGAATTGCGTTAATTTTTTTTTGATTAACTGCAATAATCAATTAATAAGGTCTAATTTCACCCTCAGATTTACTAAACGTCTATGTATGTTTTCCTGGGTTTATCTATACGATGTTCTTAGATGCTCGATAAATTTGGTTTTTGGCTTTAGAAATATCAATTTTATTAATGCGGATGTATTCAATTTATAAATTTTGACTGAAAGGGAATTCATTTGAATTCTATTGGTTTTTGAGATAGTCTTCAGTCAGTTATCAACACCTTAGAACTTCGTTCGTACATACATCAGTTCGAGTTACCTAACCATATTAGCACACAGATACAATTGTCGATTCAAATGCCACAGTGGTAGAGTTAGTAAAAGTATAGGCAGTAATCGGAAAGATTAGATTTTAAATATGTTATTCAAGGAGTATAATCCAGTGAAATAAATTTGGAAAGAGGAAATAAGGGACATGAAGAATTCAGAAGATTAGAATTTGAGAGAACACAAAGAGTGGATGCGCCTGCACCATTGCAAACGATTTTTGAGCCATGTCATTCACGGTCTAACCCTTCGTTGCTATCGTCTCGCGGATCCCAACCAGGTAGTCTACACTTACCAACATGGTTCAGTCCACTTGTCAGTGACTTCATGGATTTGTGCCGACCCTAGCTTTCTTCCATCCTACTCCTACACCATAAAACATCGCACGTCGGGGCAGTCGGTGGTTGGGCATACGTAACACGTGTCCCAGCCATCTCAACTGATGAATTTTCACTACTTCAATTGATCTGCCATCCTTACCTAGTACCCGTTTCCTAACAACTGCATTACTCGGTAGTCTTGGCAAATAATGATTATCTACAGGTAGTACCTGTAGTCGAAGTCCTACCGTATTTAAATGATAATTTATCTGTTTAGCCCAAAGTGGTTTTCAGTTTATTTGTTGTCGATAGTTAATCTTGTTTGGATCCTACTAAGCAAGTTAACATGTAATGATATTTTATCTGCTTTATCGAACAGTGTATAGAAATTACTAAGAATAGTAAATAGGTAATGCAATGTTATTGTTTGAATACAAATCCATATTTTTGCTTGTGTATATAGGAGCGATTTGTTTACTCAAGATGGTCTCCATTACCAGTAATATCGATACTACGGAGGGTGACGAGAGTCCGCTCTCCCTCTCCAAATGCTCTCACATGGCCCCGTGTTTACAGCTACTGTCAGAGAAGTCCTACTCACTGCCTTTTCGCGGCGGGGGTGGCTTTTACGAAATTGAAAGGACGTAAAGTGAATGTCCGGCCTATTTTCGGTGACCGGCTACCATTGGACTGAATCTCTTTGTGGATTAGACCTTTAGGTTGAAGGCTCCAGGTGTGGCACCCTAAGAAAGCCATCTGCTTTGGCTTGGGTAACCGGACAGTATTCTAGCCCTCACACAAACTAAATGACAAACTGTGGCATATATATTTGGTGCCTCCTTTACCAATGTTTGTTTAAATAAACAAATAACCAGTAATATTAGGAATCACCTGTTTATACAGGGCAATAAATAGATAAATATCGTACTCATCGTGTATTTAGAGTAAATTTCTCCGTCAAAATAACTAGTTTGATTTTGTTTTGATTATTAGCATGTAGTATATATGTAGTTATGTAATCTAAGTCTGATTAAATATGAAACTCATTAACTGTATCTTATCATTACTTTGGTATCAAAAAATTTTATTCATAATTTGTTATGTATCCCCAAATATTGAACTATCAAACTTTTTCTCAATTTAGCGCTGGTGGGATTGAAGTTTACAATAAAGATGGGCGTATTAAAGTAGTAAACACGTTGGAAAGTCGTTTAGATCAAATTAGTGAACGTTTAATGCCACAACTACGTGAAATTTTATTCGGAGTAAATGAAGGTCGAAAATTCCGTAATTAATTAAATGAATAATCCAATTGTCTATTTCCGTTAACAGTGGGATTGATAATTACAACAACATCTAGCATAATAAATATTTATTTTTCTTTCCTTTTAGTATCTATGTTTATTACACTATCTAAATACTTGATTTATTATTATTGCCATTTGTTATATTGTTGCATGTATGGAATTTGAAACATTGAATTTCAATCTTATCATAAATATTACTATATGATTCTAAGTTTACTCTTCTACTTAAGTTCATTCTGTAAACCTTTTTCGGTAAATCAAATAAAATGTCGGTAAATAGTGTTTGTGATGTAATGTGTCCATCAACCTGATTTAAGCGTAGGAGTCAGCTATAACACTCCCACTTATGAAAGTACACATACCTCGTGAAGGGACTAAGCCTTGTGGAAGCCGTTGCATGAAAGCATCTTAATAAAGAAAGCTGACTCCCCATCCAAGAGTATTAAACTTTTCAAACAGCTCCAACTAACGACATGTGAGTGCTAATTGATAAATGATGATAACGCAAACATTGGCTGAAAAGTGTTTGTGAAAATGATTGCTTGTAGAATTATTGGATGAATATCCTAGAAAACTGCAACTTTTGTCGATGAAAACTATTTTGGTTCATCTTTCGGCAAGAGTATATCAAGTTGTCACAATGTTTATAAATTGTGGTGGTATACTATACAAAATTACTCATTTTGTATACCAGTTTGATTAATTAGAAGAAGGAGAATCACATGTAGCGTATTTTCTCTTGTTTAACCGTGTATATTTTCATGTACTAGCTGGGGTCGAATCTCGCTCAGCCAGGCTTGTCCAATAACATTTAAGTTCCTTTGTTTTATTATAATGCAACTTATAGAATACAGTTGATGTTATACTCTAAGTTGTATAGTTAGCGGATTACTAGGGCATTCAGTTGCTAAAGTAGGAACAATGTAAAGAAAACGATACTGTAGACAGTTTAACACGGTAAATTATCAGAGAAATGTCCTGATGCCCATTTTGTTAGTTTAATCAGTCCTTTTATCATCCAATAATATAACTATCTTAATCATATATGTTCTCTCTACAAACTAGCATTATGGAATCGTTTCAATGACAAGAATAGTCATAAATAAAATGAAATACAATCTAATAGGTATGAATACTATGTATTCCCTCTTTTCTGAAAGCTTCTATAGTTCCCACTAAAAGAACCTTTTTAATGCTTGCTAATAGTGTTTTTTAGCAAAATCACAAATTAGTTTACTGATATATTCTGTCCGAGTAATCCGTAATTGGCTGGCGAGTGTCAACAGGCATACTTGTTAGTCACATATATTATAGTATAACCTGCTTCACTGATGCTCACTCTATAGTGTCCGCAGACGCTAATATGTGTTTCCTGCTAAGGCGGTCAAACTGATAGTCTAAGTCTCTTTTAACTTAGAGAAGACAAAGTTATTGCGGTCACATTTATCTGGGAGAAAATGTTTATGAATATTATGTTTGTCTTTAAAATATGATCGATCGCGCATATCAAACACCCGACAGTACTTCAAATTTATATAACCGTATAGTCAAAATGACCAAGGATTAAGAAACATACTTCATCGCTGCTATGTGGTTGCATCTTCAGTACTAACTTTCTTAAGTCATGGATTTATGTTTTTATTCAAATAGTTCTAAATTCATTTAGTGGACAGTCGTTGCATCAAATGTTAAAGGTATGGTACTCTGATGTTTTCTAAGCTCTTGTTGATATTAGAATTTACGTGCATAGTAGATGAACACTACATAATAATCATATGATAAAATTTTTGAATAACATGGGTCGAAATCTGTTGCAACTACGCAGGTGCGTCCATTCTTCTTATTCCCCAGAATTCTGAGTCTGAATTCTTCATAGTTCTGTTTTCCTTTCACCAAGTTAAATTCCCTCGAATCGTATATTTGATGTCTAATCGTATCTGGCCCCCGTAATACTGTTGCTACATCTGCTATTCTGGGATTTGGTCTGACAACATCTCTCTGTGTTAATGGGTTATAGCAACTTAAATTGATGCATGTACATACTAGGTTCTACGTTGTGACCAACTGACTATGATAAAAATACTTGAAATGAAGTCTTTGGTAAAAAAAAAAGAAAGAAATCGCACTCTATCATGAGACAATCATTTATTAAATGAATGAAGAAATGAGATCCGAAAAACGACATACAACACACTAAGTACACTTGGTGTTGTTTTACTTGTATCTTCCCATTGTTATTTACGACTGCAATTGATCAGTCTCATGTTGGCATATGTGCATCCTGTGCGGATTGCCTCGATATAACTTTAATTTCCAAGCTTTTTAGGCAAAGATAGATATTGGCTAGCAGTGGAATCCAGGACGCGCGCCACTTAGTCCTACTTGGGAATCATCAGCTGGATGTACCTACATCCCAGAGTTGATGTTCACTCCGGGACTCGAACCCAGTACCGTTCGCACCAAACGCCATCGCGTTATCCACTTAGCTACTGAGCGCTGATAGCCACGTGCTTGTGCAATGTGATGAAGTTTAAATTCACTTGGCGTTGTTTTACTTGAATCTTCCCATTGTTATTTATACTTACTAAACATTAGAGAATAAAATTGATCTAATTAATAGTGATATTTCATATTTGTCTTAATTTAACTCTTGCAAGATGATTCATTTATTTATTAGGTTATAAATGTACGTAAAATTCATTTTTTTAATTATATTATTGTAATAGAGATTATGAATCAAATAGTGTTAGACCACCGTTGAAAACCTGGAAGCACTGGATGACCGTTTCATCCTATTATGGGACGCTTCAACAGTGCACATCCACAATCTCACACGCAGGACTTGAATCTAGGACCTTGGGCGCGGACGCTTAACTTCTAAACCACAGAGTCGGCATTCAGGTTTGCAGTGGTTGCCTAATATTGATCGGTTCATGATCTCTATTAGAAATCATCAATCAGCACAATCCTATACTGATAATTATATTATTCTCTTGTATGTATAGTGTTCTATAATTTCTTAAAATGATATGATATAGGCGAAATTGAATTTGAACCTGTATTATAATATTTGATATTTGAATACTGTTTAGAGGTTATGTTTTTTCTTCAAAAGTAAGCAAATACAAGTATTATTTAAACGATAAATTTATTTCAAACAAACTGGTTAAATATTAATAACAAGAAAGAAAATAAAAACGAGCAAACAAACATCAGATAACTATAAATAAACTTAGTGTTTAAACAATGTAAACTGAGTTACCCTATGAAGATAATAAGACAATTTATGATAAGATGTATTGTGTTTTTGTTTAGAATACTGTTTTCTTATTCAATATATATATATATATATATATATATATATATATATATAAACGTGTATAAAAATTCTCAATTAATTACTGATTTGTATTGAATATGAATAATTATCGATTAATAATAATTGAATGATTGATTTATCGGTAAACGTTTGTGTACATAATTAGAATAATGATTTGATTTATATCTGAAAATAGAAATAATAATTTGGAAATAATTATCAGTTATATATAATATAAATTAAGGGAATGATGTCATAGTGAAACTATAGAATTACTTACATGTACTTTTAAATGGTACAATATTCAATAATGATGAAATATCTATATGAGTTTGTGGAGATTGTAGTATTTGTTTTTACAGTTGAAATTATGAATCAATGTAAGTCAGATCGCCATTGAAATTCTGGAAGAACGAACGTATAAATGCCTAAACTCTGGACAAATGAGACGGTATTCAACAGTATTAATGTCTGACTTTAACTAATACACAATATTGTGCGACCATTTTGTATTGTTTTCGATAGGTAACTGTCGCACAACCGACAAGGTTGAACTTTACAGGTTACGGCTTCTCACTAGAAGTTCACGATGCTGGCTTAGTGGTCTAGAGGTTAAATGTTCACGCCACATCCGAGGTCCTGGCATGGAGTCCCATGTGCGGGATCGTGGGTGCGCACTTCTAAGGAGTTTCATTCTAGAATGAAACAGTTATTCAGTGCTTCCAGGTTTTCAACTTGTGAAGAAATTTTATTTTATTTTTCTTTATTTTCCTTCACTTGTTATGTACATGTATGAGAGATATCTTTTTCACGTTGAAATAAGGTTAGAATGACTGAATAAAAAGGGTACTAGGTAAGAACTTATAAAAATGGCCAAAACAATTGATGAGTTTGTGAATCATTATCGACTGAAGTAATGTGGACATGTATTACGTATGGCCAACCACCGACTATTTCGAAACAAGATGTTTTCTGGTGTAGGAATAGTATGGGAGTTCAACTCAAGATGTGATATCAGTAAATGAAGTCATTAATTGACCAACTGAAATGTGTAGTTAAGTGCAAACTACTTTGTTTGGATGTGAGCGTTTATTGTGATAATTGGTTAGTGACTGAAGTTGACATGGTTCAGAATTGCCGCATTAGAGTGGGTTCATTCACTTTTTGCCTTTCATTAGATCTTGAGGTTTAGGAATATTGTATACATTTTATTTTGTGAATTTCTTTTTCCTCTAAAATCATGTTATCTTTACTTTATCTTTTCTTCTACAATAAATAGTGTTGTTTTCATTACTCAGGGATTTATTTTAATAAATTTATCTTGCTGTATCGATATGGCATGTTATTTTGAACTGATAGAAACTTGTGCTAATTCTACGTTTCTTTTATGACTAACTAACGAAGAAACATTATTTATTGAAATCAGATTCATGAAGCATATTTTTTGTTAGCTATCAGCTACTGTCTCTAGTTATCGGGTAGCTTGTAGATTACAACTTCTCAAATTACTGATAAATATTGGAAATGTTACGTCATTCGAACATATAATGCTGAGTACTAAAAAAGAAAGCAATAAATTGTCACTGTTGTGCATAGAATGTCGGTGGTAATAAATAAAGACAGCTTACACAATAAAATTTTGTTGAAATTTTGATTTTTCTAAATAACTGACAATCTTTGAGTATTGTTGAATTCTTTTAGCTGGATAGCTTAATTGGGAAGCTTTCATTGCCATGCTAGAAAACATCATAAACGCATTTCAATTAGGCCATAAATACTTGGTCTTTTTTGTTCTAATGGCCTTGCGTGTATGAGTGGTCTTCTTCACAGGTTTTGTTATCTTCATCTGTCCTTGTATTCAAGTTGATCTGAGTGACATGCTTGATGAAATTCTCTGGTATTACTTATAGTTTCCTTTAATTCAGGACTTTAACCAATGTGATCACATGTCACTTGAATGCCGATGCAACAGTCTGCCAAAATCACTATATTTTAATAAAAATATAATATATTAGGTTGCTAGACTTACATTTCCATTGATTGCTTGTATTAGTAGTACTACTATTATTATTAGCAAAAGGATGAATAACAACTGGAAGGGATTGCCCAAGACAGAGTTCGATGCAGAATTCAAATGGATGGCCTACGCCCCTCCACGAGAAGCAACAAGCGTAAGTAAGTAAATATTATTATTAGAGTGATAATAAAATGTTGAACAGTTTCATGATGGTTAAGGTGTTCGACTCTCATACACAAGGTCACAAGTTCGAATCTAGCCTCACTTACTTTGACTTAAGTGATTGAATTGTATCAGTAGACCTTACATGGAGTTTAGCTCAAAGTTGGATACATCAATTAGTAATTTGGTGATTGTCTCTAATTGAATGTGGACAAAACAAAGATTACCATAAAGAAAAAAATGTATAAACAACATTCAACCGCTCATATCGACAATAATTATACTCACCATTAATATTATTGTTATTACACTGTCACAACTTGTCCACTTTCAACATGAATATGTCCATGTGATTGAAGAAATTTTGGATTGATATAATTTAGATCACGTCGATATCTTTTCACTGATTGAACACCAGTTGATGTCGTGTTTAGCACAGTTAATGGTGATAATGTTGAAGATATTATTGATGATTGACAATACTGCTGACAATTTTCATTATTCTCTCTTATATCACATACACGTATATCACAATGTAGATAAAGATTTGAATAGATAGGAACTATTGATCCGGCAGTATTTAAATAAAATGCATTAAATGTGAAACCGACTTGTGTAGCTGATGATGGAACAACCGTAAGATCTTCATATGCAGCACATCTATAAGTAGAAAGATAAAATCATCAAACAAGACGATTATCTTACTATGGATTTTATAGTTGTAACAATTCATCAACAGTATGAGGAACTGTGTCCTACTGAGATTGGAATTGGTTACTTTCAGGTTTTGCTGTAAAGTGTAAGTGTTTAGTATCATGTCGAGCCCACATGTGTTATTCTAGCTTCCGGAGAGTTCATTTTATTCATTCTTCTTGGGTAACAAATTTGACCGAGTTAATTGTTCGCTTATTAATCTTAACTGTTTTTATATGAGCGTATGTGTGTGCATTGCTTATCCTACTCATCATCTGTAACTTATTTTTTGTCTGAGTCACGCTTGATTAAATGGAGTTGTCTCATTCGCTTTCGCTGTGCTTTGCTTCGTTTTCCATTTTCCCAATGACCTTCTCAGCTTCGTTTCGCTATCTTCAATTCGCTTCTCTGATTGTCTGTCCAGATCAATAAGTGTACAACATGTACGTATTCAAAATTCATCCTCGTATTTGGCTTATTTTATTCCATTATTTCCTAACGTGAATTAAGTCGATAATTATGTACACGGGTAGCCGGGATTAACATTGTCATACGATTAAAACTGGAGTCAGATCGGGGTTTACAAAAGTACAACTTTTTTTGAATGATTAAATTTGTCGTTCAATGGTTCACTTTAATGATAAGAATTATTCAAAATATGATATGAATTACGTTCAACAATCAAGAGAAAACTATGTATCTTTTTAAATAGTACAACTTATTGTTCACTGGATATTTTAGATAATTGTCCCATTAAACTGAATTATGATATAGAAGTTCAACATATCAATTGATCAATATATATTCAATTTTAAAGTTCTGTAACTCTTAGGTACAAAAGAAACCTTCCGAAGAGTTTAACCCATGATGTAAGACTTATGCCGTAAGAGAGGTAAACACTCACCATTTCTAACATATAACATTGTCAAATTCATTAATGCATGTCTTATTTTGGCTTCTCTAAAATATCACAATAATTATGGACTTATTACTATAGAGCCTGATGATGAAATTATTGAAAACAATTGTTCACTCAAATATTCTGTGTTTCTGAATATTCTAAGAGGGATTTTTGAACCTTTACAATTCTAAGTCAAATAGAAAAAATTTCATCTACTGTGTAACACAAACATTTGGAATAATCGATCATAATACAAAATGTTTTGCAAATCATTAATACATTACAGGTAAGTGGTAGTCATTGTAGCAATGCACATCAAACATACACATAGTTAAATATAACACCCAATGGAAACAGGTTTATATGAATTCGTTTTGAGAACTGTATTGAAACAACCATGTAAGTTATTCATTACTATTCATAGTAATATATGTATATACAAGAGTTTGAATACATAGTGAGGTTAAGAATGAAGCATATAACCAATTATTTCAGTCTAGATGTACACTTTCCATACATAAATATGTAAGTATATGCCAATTTGAATTAAGTGCTTGTTTGTACTTTACTTCGATTAATAATTTGTTGGTTTATTCAATGAAAGTGTCAAAGGTCATTAATCTATCTACTTATTGATTGCATTATATGATAAAATCAATTACTGAATTGATAATTAAATAGCATTTTCTTTCATTCATCTTGCATTGGTTGTTTGAATCTTTCCATTGATGTTTAAGACTACAATTGATCAGTCTCTTACTGGCATTTGTGCATCCTGTGCGGACTGCCTCGATATTACCTTACGTCACGAGCATTATAAGCAGAGATGAATGATGGCTAGTAGCGAAATTCAAGACGTGCGTTTCGTCCTAAATGAGGTTCGTTAACTGGGTGAACCGGTATCCCAGAGTTTATGTTGAATCCGTGACGGTACTGGGTTCGAGTCCACTGCTAACCACCATCTTTCATTCTGTTTATTCTTTTACATGTAATTTTGCCTAAATGTTCAATATACGACATTTAAAAGAGCAGTGTTTAAAGCACTCAATCTTTACATAATAAGATGAAGATCCTTACCTGATAGAAGCGAACAAAGTATGTTGTAGATTGATCAGATATAAGATAGCAGGTATGTGATTTTTGCGCGTAATGTAAAATACGAATATGGATTATTTAGTATTAAGGTCGACAACCTATTGGCTTTTGAGTGAAATTCAAACATTATGCATAACAAGTGATAGGAATACCTCTCAAAACTGTTTCAAACACTCGAAGTGATAACGAAAAATCATTATTTCTCACCAAAAAGTAAAAATGATTGTCTTGATCTTATCAGTTACTGAACGCTGTATATTATAGGTTAATTGACACTCTCATTAAGTCTTTATTCGAATCCTTAATTATGAAACAAACAGTAACCTGATGGTATTAGATGAATTGATCAGACGGAGACTCCGAAACTTTGGCACGAAACTCCTTCATCCATATGTTTGCATAGCATATTTTTACTATATTTGACATCAGTTCATGATTCCAACCCTTATCAAAACCTTCCAATCTTCACCCCAAAATCCCTAACTCAAAATTACGAATAATGTAAGAAATTGTAAAAATCTATTCGTATAGTTATCAGGTTTCACAGAGGATGGATAGTATCTGTCTATAAAGATGAGTTTACATGCTGTTGTTGTTTTAATTTACCGGTATAGTACACACGTAGAAAACTTAAATAGTTACACTCAATATATGAAGTCAGTTTACAATTTGTAGACCTATCGTTTCCTTTTCTATAAACTATCCATTTTCAAAGGTTGCTTTCTGATTAACTAAGAACTAGCTGAATATCTGTCGCTATTTTTTAAGCTCATCTTTACATAATACTCTTTTTATGAAGCACTACGTAAGAAAGAAGTAAAACTTACCAATATCTTGTTGCTAAAAGATTTGAATATATCACAAGAGATGATGAAATTTTATTTTTATCAAATCTGTAAACTTGAAGATAATTACCAGAAGTTTTTTTATATCCAATTAGTCGTGAACAAAGTGTCTTAGAATGTCATTAAAAATGGTTTAGTGGTTATCACTTCAAGTAAATGGAAACTTATTTTCTTGATTCACCTGAAAAAGAAATAGTCGTCTTCATGACCTTAGAGCGTGAACACACAGTTGAACGGGCAACTTCTTGGAGCCAGTCACATATCATTTGGTGAGTAGTTTCAGTTTTCCTAATTCCATACTTTTAAGGCCCCACTGCTGAGGACGAAAATCCCTTACGTAAGGTGAAGTTTGTTTTTTTTGGACCGACCTTTCTTAGCTACCTATCTTCGTTATGGGCAGACAAAACTGTTGTAAATGCTAGATTTATGAGAAAAAATTCCTACCGTCTTCAGTATTACCTTTCTTTCATACCATGATTATTTTTCTTTAAGTCTAACTGTTCTCCAATCGACCTGCCTGATATGGTATAGTAGGACATAAAGAAAGGAGTTTTTTAGGCAATAATGCTTAACTGAGTCATCACGATACCCAATACCAGATATTACATCAAGTCAGCGGCTAATTTGCTTATGTCCGAATGGCTGACTTGAATCTATTTAAGTACATTAAGATCAATTTCAAATCACAGAGATTAGGAAGTATGAAAATTATCATTTCAAAATGAAAAATAACACTACCAGTTATTACTTACCTATTAACAATTAAATCTCGTCTTAATGTTGAATTACGATTAGGTGTAGCAGTTGCCCAACAGTTCTCCAATATTAATTTACTCGTTTTTTGTGGATTAACCAATGAAACAAGAGCGTAAACTTTATCCCCCGGTGGAATAGTAATAGGTTGTTGTAATTGGACAGTAAATCTGTAAAAATAATATTAAAACAACAAGAAATGACGAAAACAAAATGATTGACAATTTAACATTTTGTTGAGAATGCCAAAGTTTAATTACTAATGGACAGACATATGGAATTGTTAATTCCGTTTGCCCTTTTCGCCTTCGTTTTTAATTTTTGTCTTTTGACTATACTACTTACTAATATTCAGTAACGCATAGATTGTCAATCATTTTCAAAGACAACTCCATACGTCTCACTAGTGTTACTTGTGACAAACCAATGTATTTTGACATGAATTCGTGACATTTAACTTATCTTATTATTATAACTGTATTACTTAATATTCCCAATATTTTATATGCATATCTTGTGAACTTGTTTATCGGTAACAGTTTCCACACTTAGCGCATGTAATTATGGTTCCAATTTATTAATGTGGAATTTGGCCAGACTATGATGCGCATAAACGCACTACACACTTTAAGAATTAAGGTCTGTAGATTGTACTGCTTACATTTCCAACAATGGAAGTATAGTTTACAATGAGGATTTTACACGTGACTCGATTTGTTTGGTTTGAATGCTTCAATGAATATAACAGGGAAGAAATTCAGTTTTTAATGCTTATTGTGTAAAAAAAAACGTGAAAATGTTAATAAAACCAAGAAAAGGAAGTTTATATGCATTTGTGTTATTTCATAACATTTAACATTGTATGAAATTGAAAAAATCTAAGCATATTGAATGTTTCAAAGTTCCACTTGGATCCATTCTTACAAAGATCTACACATCAGAAGTAAGCAGATTTAAATTTGTAAGTGAAAATACTTGCAAAAATATAAGTTTTATGGTTTAGAATGTTCAAAAGTATCTGTCTCTTTGATAAGCTTGATGAGTGTAAATATATTGTGCACCAGTGCTAATATGTTATCACATGGTCAAATAATAGATGAAATTATAAGCAAAGAACACTATTGATAGTAGTTAAATCTGGAATTCGCTAAGATTTCAAGCTCTTTATTCTTGTTCATATTAGTGGACAAAATGTATATAAATCTATGATTAAGTACTTAGTTTTCTCACAAAGATTTGTAATGTGGTATTTAGTATTATAGTACTACATGATGTATATATCAGTTAGTTGATTCGTGAATTTAAACTTGTCTATATTGAGTTGAAATACAACAGTGATATTTCAAGTTATCTGCATTTATAATTCTCACGAGTAACAAAAGATCAGGAAAAGGTAATGGTGATATTTATGATTGGAAACACTATTTTCGTATCTCTGGTAGATAATAATTGCAATCAACAGTAAATATTAACCAATATTATATTTTCGTTTCACTTTCTAAGATTACAATCAAGTTTTACATTGGTAGAGAAGTAGCTCAATCGTCAAGGAATTTGTAACTGAACCTGAAAATCTCATCTTCAAGTCTCAAAAATTACTGTTTTTACTCAACTCAATATTCCAGCTACTCGACCTGTAGCTCTTCTAGGATTACTGCTGGTCCCAAGCCTAAGTAAAGGAGGAGGGTTGAATGTGGAGTAGAAAACAACAGTGCTAGAAAACACTAAAAATCATTCCAGTACAATTAGTTGACCTACATATATATAGTTGATTAGTTAATTAGTTTTCTATCCCTTATTGCTTGCTGATCGAATACTGTTAATTAACTGCATGATCAAAGATCTACACTTATAATGAGCTTCAAATAAAACAAGACACATGACTAGGGATTTTTTGTTCAATGGGTTCAATGACTTAACATCCATCACTTAGCTGCGAAAAAATGAGGATGAAAGACAGCTTTAAAAAGTTGAAAATAACTCAAACTACTGATTTTAGGTTAGTAGGATAATGCATGCCAATGAAAAAATTAATTCGTCATATTCTTTCATATACATCAAGTTTTTCATCATTTTCGTATCTATGTTTTCCTATTTAATTATATCTAACATGCTTTTTTTAAAATAAGATTTCCCACATTGTTGACGACTGATAGATCTATAAATGAAAGTTGTAGGTTTTTTTCTTTCTTTCTGTTTATCGATCTAAACAAAAGTCAGTCATATATTTCAAACCATGCTAAGTTTATTCCAATCCAATACCTTATATACACCTTATATATCTAGTTATGCATTGCAAATTTTATTCGTAATCAATAAAACAGATATATACAATGACAACAGTATCCATGCTATAAAAAGGAACGTTAATGTAGTTATAATGGAATCATCAAGTACAAACAGACATTACATCAACCCAATAAACATAACTGCTGATTTTGAGAATTTTAACCATTTACTTGTATGTAAGCGAAAATAATCAAAAAAAAACACACAGGACGGTTGAGTTTACATACACATTGTTATAACAGTTGGATTTCCACGTTTACATGTATAGGACGTTAATTTACCTTAGACTAACATCTACACTAGATTCCCTCCCAGTGTCTATTCTACAGGACGTTAACACAACTCAGATCAAGGACATGTGATTAGCTTGACCATAACGTAAATATATTTCCACACCAAAAACCCGACACAATCCAACAACAATGAACAATCAATAATGAGTGAGTAATAATAATAAGGATAGGGGAATATATAACTCATCTAACATCTGTCAGACTACCTATATGTCTGACTAAGCAGACAACCAATCATTATCACCCTCGCCCACAAATCACATATGTATTATCAAGTGATAGAGTCGAGGCGATTTTCGAGGAACGTTAATATGACCTTGAGAAAAGTCACCTATTTACTAGGGCCGAAATACGGTTATAATTTAGCAAGAGGAATTAGGGTTGTAATTTGGGGTGATAAGTTACCGTTTGCAATTAGAGTATCATATGTTAAAAACTGTAATTGATCAGTTTCTTATTGCGATATGTACATCCTGTGATGAATGCCACGATATTGCCGTTTGATCACGAGCATTATCAGTAAAGATGGATGGTTTATTATTGTTTGAACACAATAAAACTGGTACAAGAGTCCATGTACATGATTGGTTTGGAATCAGGGTTTTCCAACTCCCCTGGGTGGATTCTCCTCACCTGCTAACCAGGTTAAAGTGCTGGACAATCGCTTTTCGTCCTCTCAATTTTGTAATCAACATCCCTGCCGCGAGAAGGCAGTGAGTAGGACTTCCTGGCATTGGCTGTAAGCGTGTGGTCACGTGATAAAATTTGGAAAGGGAGAGCTGACTCTTTCCATCCTCGGTCGTACCAGGGCATTTTGGTTCTAACGGTGGAATCCAGGATGCGCATTTCATCCTACTTGAGACTCGTCAGCTGGATGTACCTGGGTCTCAGAGTTGACTTCCACTACAGTACTCAAAACGTGCATCGTGTATTCCACTGTTAGCCACAACCCATCAAATCGTAATAAACTGTTAATAAAACTAATTTAAACAAATTAACTAACACTGACTTACAATTGATCACGATATAATTTCAATGTTGATAAAATACTCTCACTTTGATATAATAAATTTGTAGTAATATTTGGTGAAGCAACAACTTCCGATTGAATTTGTTTTGAACGTGGTATTAAACAGGTCACAGTGAATTTCATTGGTAAATTTGATATAATACCATTTTCTGGTGTTAAATATGCCCGAAGCAAATTTAATTTAATTGCAATGGAAGTTGAATTACTCTATAGAAATATATACACATACATTGATATCTAAATGATTCAATTGTTAATAAATATAAAACGTGTATTTATACAGAAGAAGAAGAGCTAAGGAAATATAGTCTTAGTTAGTCAACTAGGAAGGATATAATTATTATTGCCAAAGGCAGTTTAATTTGTTGTCTATGCTATGTATTGAGATTAGCTAGACATGTTACAACCCATGACGTGCGCTACTTATACACTTGACCAATCCACTATGTTGGTGAGAGACTAAAAAATTATTGCAAAGCTTTAATTGACGAACAGAATCGTTGGCATATATATATATATATATATATATATATATATATATATATATATATATATATAATTATATATATATATATATATACGTTTGTTCTGCTGACCTAGACAAAGACCAGAGGACTTAGACTTATTCGGTCTTTAGTCGACTTGTCTAGATAGAGCTCCTTGTTTAAGATTTTTCGCTGACCACTCGACATCAAGATGGCATGTGGGCCAGGAGTAGGAGTGAAGAAATCTAGGCTTCATCATGGCCGACGTAGTACCTTCAGACTGTTGAAGGAGGATTCGCTAGTTCATGATAGCAGTGAAATATTTTAAGGGATATGGTAAAAAGCTACGACGAATCAGACGTTCACAATCAACATGAAACTCGGTGCATACATGCGCCTAATCAAGCTGTCACAATTATTATGAGTATGTCTGTGTCAGCTTTTCATTTCCGAAGTGTACACACTGTGGAGGTATAATGCACCCTAAGGTATCTGAAAACACCTGGGTTAAATATGGTCATAAAAAACTGGAGGCATGACCTCAAAACACAATAGAAAACTGCTTGAACCCATTCATGAGCTCTTTAGTGAGGCCGATAACTGATTAAACACATAGAGGTGAATTATGTTCAGTGATTGAAAGTAATTAGTATATAGCACTTAAATCTGTTATATATTTATTTGGTAAACGGCTATCGGTAAAATCTAAGAGGTGGGTTGCTTCCTATTTGGAACTCGTCAGCTGGATATAATTGTATCGTAGTGTTGATGTCCACACTATAACTTGAACCTAGTACATATCCCAGTGAACAGTTATTTGTTCAACAGGTAGGAAGGTTACTAATATACATATATCTGTAATATAGCCTATCCCATAAATACACAAAGTAAGGTTATAAAAAGTTCTTTTTTAATGAGATTTCATATGCATCAGACATGACCAATTCACAATACATTTCATTTATGATAGTACATGTGTCACATGTACATTCTGATTGTTCCAAAATTCCTGGAAAATTTCTAAATGCTGAACAGTTTCAACTACTAAATAATTTCACGCAATATTATCAATCATAAGTATTTTCCTCAAAAATTCAGTGCACCAGTAATCAACTGTAAAGTCAATTATGGGATCAGAAAGTATAAAAGAGAGTGAACACATTCGATACATACAGGAATTCAACAGTTATACGAGCTTTACATCATTCATGCAGTGTTGACAGTTTAAATTAAGACACTTTATTTAATCGAAAAGAGATGTTATCCTCAACTTTTTATGTCTAGGAACAACTTACAACTATTTATAAGTATTTCGAGAGACTATTGAATGTTTCATCAAAAACTAGTAACTCGGTTGCCGTGTTTATTGAATTGAGTATATATATACATATATATATATATATATATATATATATATATATATATATATATATATATATATATATGCAATTAGCGTTTTAATCAATTTAACATTTGGTTGCTTAGTTATGTTGAATTGCTTTTGTATATGTGTGTAAAGGAATATATTTTTACAGTTTTCAATTTAAGGTCACAAAATTCTAGGCTTTTATGAAACCATAATACCATCATCGTTTGAGTTACTACTATTATTACTAACACTACGGTTTCTACCCATTCAATGAATATCTGATGAAGTATCTACTTAGAACAAACAAATATTCTCTACATTAGTAAACAAAGTGATAATTATTTAATTGTCACTTAATCCTATTGGTGAGACTATAAAATTAGTAAGACGGAAATATTTGATATTTAATGTATAACGATTGTGAAATTTATTACATACTACTCTATATATATTTGATAAATGATATGCCTAGTATTTAAACGCCTGATACTGATTTTCTAACATCCTCCTCCTCCTAGTTACCCCATCCCCACCAGAAATTTAATACACTTAGGCTTTAAGTAAAAAACAAAAGGCAGAGTGTATGAAAAAAGCTTTGCTGCCAAAGTTGGTTTAATCATCAAGAAACAAGGATATGATGGATTTATGTGTAGCCTTGATGCTCTAAAAGTTCATGGAATCATGCTAAAACTGGCAACAATATAAGTAATTATTCAATCGAGATATGATGCATAAATCACTGTTTTAAAGAACTGTATGAAAAGTTTCTATGGAACTATCAATGGTTGATATATTTCTAGCATTTTTATAGCTTTCAAATACTTTTCTCAAGGGCTATTAATAATAATAAGTTTAATTGTAGAGAACTATGATTCTGTTCTATCTGTTATTAAGACCTAACTACTTAAGAAATTGCTGGTAAGTAAAAGTGTACGTTTAGAAATTTTAAACATTTTTTTTGTTCTGCTCTTCATTTGATTATCAGTATAGGATTGTAGAGATTGTTGAGTTTCACTGAAATAATGAACTGCTCAATGCTAGACCACAGTTGAAAACTTGGAAGCACTGGACGGCCGTTCTATCCTAGTATGGGATTCCTCAGCTGTGCGCATGCTCGACTCCGCACATGAGAATCAAACCCCAGGAAATTCGGTCTTTCGAGCAAACGCTTAAACTCTAGATTATTAAGCCGGCATCTAACCATGCTAACGTTTAACTTCAATCAATCCACGATATTCCGTGACCATGTTTCATGGTCTTTGGTGGGTAACTAACTGCTTTACAGCCGACAAAGATGAACTTCACTAGTTCAGCATTTCCAGGTTTTCAATAGTGGTCTAACATTGATCTATTCATGAATTTATTTAATTGCTTCACTTCTCAATTAATAATTGTAAATGAAATGAACATTAGAGATATTAAATTTCTTATGCAACTTTTGGACCAGTTTCAATAATAAATCTTGAGTCTTGTACACTGTGACTTTGGGGAGATAAACCAAGTGTTAAAAGATTTCAGTGTTCTAGATAACTTCTAGGAAAGATGAAAATGTTGATAAACTTGATTAATCAGATTTCAAAAGATATTAAATACATCAGCTGAGTATTTGTCATTGAAACACAAATTATAATAAACATATATTAAAAGTCACTGAGTAGTGTCCAATATAACAAAAATTCAATCTTAATCCGTACTGATTTTTTTCTTCCTTCATAAGTTGTATTTAATAATTACACACTCAGGTGGGGATAAGCAATTTTATTTTAATACAAAATTACAATGTACTTTGGTAAAATGTGAAAACCATTGATTGAGAATCCTCCATCAATTATCTCAAACTTCATCGATCTTTCATTGCCATAACAATTACTCTCTGTCCTCGTTCTCTTCCGCTGCCAGACACCCCACTTTTGAACAGTGTTAAATACTACTTCTATCGATATAGGTAACATACACCACACCTGTACTATGTTCTTTTGGTTATGTTTAAAATTATTTTAAGTTAGATTCTTAGTATTCACCAACAGATGATCATCGATAAAGTAAATTGAATGGCTGAATATCAAATGAAAACACTTTAATCTCACAGTTATTTTTAGTCATTTATGAGATTTGAGCTTTTTGTTATGTTCTTCTCTATACAGTTTAGAGAAATATTAAATGCAATAAAATTGTAAGTGTAAATTGATTTCATTTTATTCATGTTCACTTACATAGCATTGTTATGATGAACAGAAATGAATGAATATTATAGGTTGTTTAGTGAACTTCAACTTCTTTTTCTCTATTAACTACTAGTTATTTACAATTAGTAAATCATTGTCAAACTGCCTAGGCTAAGATATTCGGAGTAATGAAATAGCACTTAATCATCTGTATATTCAGATAGGGGTTTTGTGGATATTATAGTAATTTAATAAGTGAATTCATGAGCCAGTTAAAGCTAGACCATCATGGAAAACCTGGAAGCACTGGACGGTCGTTTCGTCCTAGCATAGGACTCGTCAGCAGTGCGCACCCATGATCCCGCTCCTGGGAATATTCGAACCCACGACCTATCGGCCTCGATATATATATATATATATATATATATATATATATATATATATATATATATATATGGTCTGTCAGATGACCAGTGATTCCTAATATTCAATATTTAGGAATTTATTCCATGAGTAAATCATTAGTTCTATATTGTTAGTTACTTCAGTAATTTTATTGGTTAAAGTATGCTTAACCGACGACCTTCAACCATGTTGAAATGACCTCGACAAAATAAAGCGGAATTTGAGCCAATAAGAATCCAGGTGATGAGTAATTCATTGAAGTGAGAGCCTAGGATACTGGTTAAGGTTAGAAAGTTTCAGTAACAGGAATTGAATGAGAGAATGCTATTGTATATAAAGTATGGTTATAGCATTCTAAATAAATGTTTTAACCAGACACAGTATTATTCAACAATTATCATCTTCCTGATAATAATACTAATGATTACCATTATTCTTATCATTATTGTTGATATGGTCTTTTGAATTAAACTGTATTAACAACAATAAGAACCTTCGTCTAAATTTGAACGAATAGTTTCACAATATTTGAGCGCCGAGTTAATGTAAAACATTAAAGTGGAAGAATGTATCTGTAAAATCTCAGCGAAAGAATTTGAAGTAAATAAAACGTTTCGACTTGCATTCGAATAATATTCGATAATTTTGTTGTTTGATTATATTTTCCTTGAAAAAGCTTGTACCAGATTGCCAGGCGAAACGTTGGATTTACTTAAAATTCTTTCACTGAGATTATAACAAATACATTCTTCCTCTTTAATGTCTTATATTAACAACAATAATACGACTCGAATTTGTATTCGCGGCATTTTATCCTGAGGAAATTTAAACAAAAATTTAATTAGATTGTTCAAAATGTATTCGGATAATAATATTACATAGTTTTGATAATCTTCATCTTATTACACCATCGAAATTTATCAAAACGGACTAATTTAATTAATTTCTTTGGACAAGAAAAGCAGAATTCAGTGAAAAAATTTCTTTTCAATAGTTGAATTCATGAGTCAATTGAAGCTAGACCACCATCGAAAACGTGAAAGCACTGGACGGTCGTTTCGTCCTAGAATCGGACTCCCTCCGCGAGATTCAAACCCGGGACCTACTAGTCTCGCGCCAGGCGCTTAACAAACTACACCACTGAGCCGGCATCCGACGGTGTTAATGTCTAACTTCAACCAATCCACGAAGTTGCGGGGGGCGCGATCGTGAATATGCACTGCTGAGGAGTCCCATACTAGGACGAAACGGCCGTTCAGTGCTTCCAAGTTTTCCATGGTGGTCTAGCTTCGATTGACTCATGATTTCAACTATTGAAATCACTAAAATCTCCAAAAATCCCTCCTGATAATTTTCTTTTCGACGAAATCTTTGACTTAAGCTGTACATTCGTATATATAGTTATATGGAAAATGTATGTGTATAGGGGGATAGAAAGGAACAAAATTTAGCTGTCATATGTTGTCATCATTTATATCACACAAATTATTATTGTATTCTTTTTATTACGTTATTATGTTTATTTACTATTCGTGCTTCATTTCGGAAATAAACATTAAATTTTCATTTATATATATGATTGTACAAGTTTATAATGAAAATTCGGCAAAATTATGGCATATAGGATGAACATGAAATGCCCACGAGAGATATTCAACCAGTTTTTTAGCCAATTAGAAAATGAATAATTTATTGAAAAGAAAAAAACAGGATTATAAAGTGTAAACTGACTTCATATATTGAGTGTAACTATTCAAGTTTTCTACGTGTGTACTATACCGGTAAATTAAAACAACAACAGCATGTAAATTCATCTTTTTAGACAGATACTATCCATCCTCTGTGAAACCTGATAACTATACGAATAGATTTTTACAATTTCTTACATTATTCGTAATTTTGAGTTAGGGATTTTGGGGTGAAGATTGGAAGGTTTTGATAAGGATTGGAATCATGAACTGATGTCAAATAGAGTAAAAATATGCTATGCAAACATATGGATGAATGAATCTCATGCCAAAGTTTCGGAGTCTCCGTCTGATCAATTCATCAGTTCATAAAACCTAATACTATCATGTTAATGTTTATTTCGGGACTGAGAATGCAAGTGAAAGATTTGGGGAGAGTGTTGATTAACCCACTTATATGTAATTTATGTATACAACGTTTGGCAAATGATAACATCACGTATTATACATGACATTCGTATTTCACGCAAAAGCTATTTACTAGCTATTATGAAATTATGCCTGTAACCGGCACGGGAAAAATGTCAGACTCATTCAAATCTGCCCGCCGTTTCGTTTCAACGACCTTGAATAACCTGACAAGAGTTGGTCATTCCGTATTTCAATTGCGTGGGTTTGTTGAGTTGCATAATATTAAGTTTTTTTTTAATATTTACGTCGTCTTTTACTGCACTAAAAAGCAGAAAATAACTACGAAAAGCATTAGTTTAGCATTCTATGTTTGTAGTTTACACGTTGGCCGTGTTGTTACTTCGTAACTCGATCTGTGATCTCAATTGCTGTAGTGAACCTCAACGCCTTTTTTAAATTTTTTGATGAAGTCAAGAAAACCAAAGTAACAAAGATAAGATAAACTTAAAATTTATAGATATGCAAAGTTTGTGTGAAACACTGTTAAACGCAAAAGTTAAGACGAAATGTCAAGTAACCGGTAAGTCTTAAATATTTGTAGTACATCCTTCAGTTAATATTATTTCAAGGAATAAATTTTTTTAATAATTAATGAGCACTGTTTGTAGTGTTTCATGTTCAAGAGACATTTCATTTGATGTAAGCGTGGCGTTTCAACGTATTATTACTGAACAAGCGTTTCGGAAGCTAGCTTGAATTTCAAAAGTATGGAGGAATAATTTTATCCCTTCTCAGACTACCCATACTTATTACATTTACACAGAAAGTAAATTGGTGAAGGATATGAGATTTAAATACTTGTTTATGATGTTTCATTGCACATTTGATCATAAACGTAAGTCAGAAGGTCTGACAGCGAATCAGAAACCGTGAGAACTTAAACTAATATGTGACGTTTAAGGTCTAAATATCTAAACTGCCAATCAAGCTTCCGTGTAAGATTGGATGATCAAGGATATGTGAAGTATTCATTATTTGTCAATCTTATTCATAAGATTACTCATATGTATGTAAGTTTATTTTTTAATGTTTAAACGTAATCCAAGCTAATTCGATGAATCATAATGATCAGAGATTGATTCTTTTAATAATAAAAAGAGAAAAAAAATTAAAGAATATAGAATATATCAGTTTGTATGAAATAAGAGCTAAACATTGTGAATGACTTCATTGAAGCTATTTATTAGCTATTATGAATATCTGCCTATTGTCTGTTATGTAGATAATTGCTTACTCATGTAATTAACCAAAAATCTTTATTATTATACAAATTACTTACTTGTAATGTACAAGAAAGATTGTTATCTGGCTACAGTGTCTATTATCATAATTAGTTAATGACTAGTGTAAATAAATCATAATTAAATTTTACAACTCAACAATATAGTTCAAGTGAATAACAATAGTGGCTCATTGAAAGTTCATGGATAAAACTTAAATTTACACTTATTAGTGAAACTGTTATATCTTGTGGCCTTTTGACTCTATCAATATATAACGCAATGATACCACTAATTAGAGAACAGTGACATTAATCAGACCAATAACTTATACAACCCGTACGAGCAGTCTAGATTCCTTATCGGTCCTTCTTCCTGTCTAGCTCTGCCTGTTAGATTCAGAACACTAATATCAGTCTCCTAAATATGAATCACGTATTTCAAACATATTGGGTTTATACACAAACTAAACAGATCACATCATATCATAAAATAGAAAGTAATATTTATACAAGGTCTAGCCAAAAGTGGCTGTGAATGTGGGAGACTGTAATTGATAGACCGGGTACAACTCAAGAGAGTTAAGTCGTATAATAATAGTCTATGGGTTAAAATAAAGCTTATAATAGGAGAAACATGAATACGCATAGTTTAGTTACATAACAATTATACAATAAAAATATATGCATAGTACTAGCTCATAAATAGATACCAACAGTTACGATTCATAATTCTCGACGGGATATAACAGAAACAAATTTAGAGAAATTCAAACTGACGCCCTCAGTATATTTGCTTCTGATCAGTTAATTGGTTTAATTTATAATGTTTTGTATTTTTCTACTATTGATGTTAAGGACTGCAACTGATCAGCCTCTACTGGTATCCCGAGCAGATAGTCTCGATATCATTGCTACTTAGTTACAAAGTATAATAAAGTTTGATAATGATTAGAACTGGTATTATGGACGCGCATCTCATCTAATTTGGGACTTGTCAATCGGACGGACCGTCATTTTAGTACTATTGTTTGAATTAAGATCCAAGTTCAGTCCCTAACGCTTCAAAAGGTCAATGGGTTAATTATTGAGTTACTAAGTTTAAATAACCATTAGTTTCTGAACTGGATAACTCGTAAGAAGCGAAAAATACTGTGTTCGAGTCCCTACTTGAACATCTTCACACTAAGATACAAATACGTCTCTAGGTGATACGTCTCAAATATGATCAAACACACGTCATACCTGGCACAATCAATGATTATCCAGCTTTAAATTTACCTTTTCAAAAATAAATAAAGAAAATAAATCACAAATTAGATGACATCTTTCATAGAAAATAATACTAAGAATTTACAAAATTAACAAATTGATCATTAATTTTGACTAACCAATGTTAGACTGCCACCACAACCAACAAGTGGAACATAAGCTATAATATGGGTTGTATTATCATCTACATGATATTGACAATCAATTGGTAATTGATCTTGATCTAATCGAATCATACTTGAATTCAAATCTGGATTATAATATTTATCATAGATAATTATCGCTGTTGTTTGATTACAATAGAATACAGGATGATAAAAATCTAAAGAGTATTTTAAAGGAAAGAAAAAGAAACTATAATGTATACATTTGTGTATGCTTAATATTTATTGATAAACAAAGTAACTCTATCAAAAATCAGTTTTGTTTTACAAATAAAATCATGAACTGATCTTAACTAAATCATAATTGAGTACCTGGAAGCAGTGAACAGTCTTTTCATCTTAATAATATGAGATTTATCAATAGTGTACATCCATACTAGGACGAAAGAGATATCCAGTGCTTCTAGGTTTTCAATGATGTTCTAGTTAAGATCAGTTCATGAGTTTAGTCATGAAATACTACAATCTTCACAAATTCCTTACTGGGAAAATCAGTTTTCTCGAGATATATTGAACTTATTTTGATCAATGAGAAGCACACTTAGATATAGTGATGCTCAAATTAAACAGTTATTTTATTCATAAAATACAAAAATATTCATTGAATATTTCTAATGAGACATTAAAAAAGGGACAAGTTGAGTGAATAAATATTCCTTTTCAATTAGCTCTTCATCACAGCTTGACATTAATATATCCATACGTTTTATAAATGAGTAGAAAGTTGATACCAACTAAATGATGGTGATCCAGTTTAACAATGTAAGCATAGGACGAAACGCGTTTCCTGGATTCCACTTTTAGCCATTATCCATCTTCGCTTATAATGTGATCACTAGTGAATTACATAACGTTTGAAAAATGAAATCAAAAATAATATGAATTTTTCTGAACCACGTAATTATTACAAATAGTTACATAAGAGTAGTAGTATGAATTGAAATTGAATGTAAATATAAATGGTTTTGTTATCTGTGAAATGATTAGTAGAACTGGTACAGTGGAAATAAAGTAATTTGATTAATAAACAAGTTACGTAAGATTAAAATTATAAATTAGAATGTTAAATAGATCAAATTTCGGCAAATTTCAAAAGAAGACAAAGGTTTTGAAACATCATGTATTAGTATCTAAGTAGAAGGCTAGGGTATTCATAAAGACTGTACAAATTTTTACTGTACACGAAGTTTAGGTTTTTTGATACGTATTATTATGGCTTTTGCTATATGTAAGAGTCGAATTCCAAAACTATAGAGTATATTCGGTTGAATTTGACAAATAAATCAAAACGCTGAAGTTTTATTTATATGATGACCAATGAGCTGGAACAGAGCTTCTTATTACTTTCTATTGTCCTTTGGTTAACCATGAGAGATGATGTTCAGAAATACGATAATGCAGTTATCTAGTTGTGTTTCCAACACAATTTGTTCTACAAGAGCAGTTGAAATGTTGAATACACATAGGAGCAGAGGAACTAGTCGTGAACTCACTATTGGCCGGCTGAAGGAAGGAGAACATAATCTTTCCTCAATAAATGTACGCTTTCGAGGTTTTTGTTTACATTGAGTTACTATTTTGCTGGCGGTATGACTTATGAACTGTAATTTCAAGAATATTAGTTTTTTAGTACCGTTGATGATTTTACTTTAGATTTAGTTACAAATATGTTTTAATAGGAACTGTGATAGGTATTTATGCTTACGTAATAAATCCTGAATAAGTTTTAGTCCCTCTTTGAGACTTTTCTCAGAACATATAATTTTGGGTCTGTGAATCAAACATTTGATTAAATTTCTCTTGTATTGTAATGGGGTACAGTTAGAAAAGCATATACATTGGGTTTGTGTAGTCGATTTACTATAAACAGTTCTTATTAAGCCGTTAGTTCTTTTCAATAGAACGAATAAAAAAGAGACTGAGGTCACAATTTTCTTCCTCTAATGTGAAAGAGATTACCTGGTGGACTCTATTAAATGTTCCTAGCAGACTGAGCTTTGTTATTGTTTTTTGTAACTTTAGATGTATCATCTATAGAGCGACAATAAAATCCTTGCCTGATCACACTTTTTAGACAACCATTTCCTAATTTTGGTAGAAATAAATTAGCTAGGATTAAACGTAATGGTGATGCCATAAAGACACCATCGCATTATCTATAAAATACTTTATGAAATAAAAGTTGTATATTCATAGTAAATTTAAATATTAAATTCTTTTAGGGAGGAGACAGAGATACTAATCTCCACCCCATGACTTTGTAACCATATACATGAAATCAACTGTATTTTTTCTTAATGAGGCACATTTATAAATCAATGGTAAAGATGCTGATAAAATGCAGAATCTTATGGTAGCACTAAGCAACAATGCCAGAATGTTTGGAATGCGTTTCTCCCCCTCTAAATGCAAGTTGTTGCTTCACAACTGGCCTGCGTCAACATCTAAACTAAGAATAGGGAGTGAAGTGATCGAAGGCGCTGACAACTTCACTTATCTTGGAAGTCTGATCAGCCCTAATGGGTTGGGGTCTGACGAAATCTCAGCACGGATTCGGAAAGCTCGTCTGGCTTTCGCCAACTTACGTCACCTATGGCGCAGGCGAGATATCTGTCTATCAATCAAGGGACGAGTATACTGCACGGAAGTTCGTTCCGTTTTACTTAATGGCTGCGAAATGTGGCCATTAAGATTTGAAGATACTCGTAAGTTACTAGTATTTGACCACAGATGCCTTAGAAATATTGCTCGCGTCTGCTGGGATCACCGGGTGAGTAACAGTGAAGTTAGACACAGGGTATTAGGGAATGATAGAAAATCAGTTGACGAGGTTGTGAATCTTCATCGACTAAGATGGTTGGGCCACGTGTTACGCATGCCTGAACACCGTTTACCACGACCCGCAACGCTGTCTGGTGTTGGGGATGGTCGGAAGAAAGTTAGGGGCGGCCAAACCAAAACGTTGCATCAGTGCTTGATGACACTAACTTCTGGTCTGAGCCATGTTGATAGATGCAGACTACCTGGTTGGGGTCCTCGTGACTATCGTAACCAATGGTTGGAGACTCTTGGTGACATGGCTCAGAATCGATCACAATGGCGTCGGTGTATACACTCTCTATCTTCCTTTAAACTAAGAGATTAAAATCGCTTCATATCTTTCTTTCTAGGAACTAATTTTTTCTTCCTGTACTATCTCCTTATATGCAATCTTTCTTCTACATATTACCACCACTGAATTAACTACTTCTATGAATCCGGTGTTCATCTTGTTGTGCTAATGACGTATGGCAACTTGGACCGATGCATATATGTTCCTGGTCCTACGCTGTAGCTGACTGACTTATAAATAAATACATTGACTGTCCACCAATTAATTAGTATCAATGTTCTATTCATTTATAAAACCTATGGATATATTAATGTCAAGCTGTGATGAAGAGCTAATTGAAAAGGAATATTTATTCACTCAACTTGTTCCTTTTTTAATGTCTCATTAGAAATATTTAATGAATATTTTTGTATTTTATGAATAAAATAACTGTTTAATTTGAGCATCACTATAACTTACTGTGCTTCTCATTGATCAAAATAAGTTTAATATGTCTAGTGAAAATTGATTAGTTAATAAGTTATGTAATTTATCCTTATTTCCATTTGCCTTTAAGTCATGATCTTTTTATAATAAGCTGATGTCTCTAGTGTGAGTGTGTCGTGATTGATCGTTGAGCAAAGATAGACGTATCTGACTACACTAAAATTAACATACTATTTTATCAGATAGTTCTTTTTTATCCGTTAATCGAATAAATGATTGAGTCGAGAGTACCACATAATCAACTGTCGTAGTTTTATTGATCTTATCACTTACATCATATTTTAGTAGATCTTGTCCAAACTCAGATTGAAAAAAAAGAAGTAGTTATTTCTCGTTAATAACGCAAAGATAATTAGAACTAAACCACACTGCACTAACCTGAAACTTTTGAAGCTGACGGTGGTCCACATTGTAAACCAACATCCATACCATGTGTACAACCCGGTGCTGAACCCCAACCACCACCTAATTTACAATCATTTAAACTTGATGCATTCACTGGACACTCTAAACGTGATAAATGAATCGGTGTTGAATTGGAAGCACTTCCATACAAGTATAAAACTGGATAAGCATATTGTAGATTATCACTTGAAAAATGATTTCAAAAAAAAGCAAATAACTTAAATTTTTAATTAAATCTGAAATATGACAATTTACAGAAATTGGTCATTGTGAAAAAAGACATTAGACTGTTGTTACTATATTTGAGATTAAAATTATAATTATTAATAATATTGGAATTAATGTTAGTGTGCTTCACTATCTTTGTACTTTATGTCATGGAATAACTCCGTACATCAGTTAGCAACTACGATCCATCAGGAGTTGAACTTGAGGCATTCAATCTTGAGATGAGTGTCTAACCAATTCATGACACTGCAAAACTGTCTTCCCAAGCCATGTGTGGGTGATTGCATCGCTATCAACACTATTGAACCCCACAGGTCATTGATTCACACTAAGACTACAGGTACCACTTAAACTACGTAGGCATGAGGCAATTACCCAGCAGCGGGAGTGAAAAATGTCTCTCCAATATTACAAATTTATTAAATTTAGAAATATAAACAGTTGGATTCCCAATTAATGATCTAAAGGATAAACGGTTGCTTCTAAATCTGAAGGTCCTACGTTCAATCCACGATGTGATTAATGGATGGATGGTCACTGCTAAAGAGTCCCTACTATGATGAAACTGATGTCTAGTATTTCCACCTTTACAGTTTTAAAGCGGTATTTTCCATACAAACATGCTAATTCACCGGTTCAATGATATAGTGCCTCTTACGCAACCTGTTGGCCTTAAATCCAATCGTGGTACATGTAGTATGTAATACCAATCAAAAGTTGAGTAGCTGGAAGCAGAAGGCTAAGAAGATCAAGTTGAAGAGAATAGAACGAGAAATAAGAAGAAATTGTCACCTAGAAGAATCATACAGAGTGTGAAGTACAAATAATGGAAATTTGCAAACGAAGTATTCAGTGCATGGTTCTTATATTTTAGCAAGATATTCTACCTTTTTGCTTCCATTTTCCTCACCTGGATTCTCTTTCATAACACTTGTATATTTCCGTATAAGTAGCACGTGCCACAGTAATAAAAACGTTAAGCGTAAACATTCTGGTTAGAGAAGAATGTACAAGTTTGTGTAATAAAAGAGTATAGAATAATTTTAAAACTCAGAAATCTAAGGAAATTAGAAAAGTGACTTTATGTACGTCTTTCCTAACCGATTCTAAGTTACATCACCTCATTATTATCTTTAATCGTTTGAATACATGACGCACATTTCGTCCTATTTGAGACTTGTTAGCTGAATGTGCCTGCATATCATAGTTGATGTTCAACTCCGGGACTCGAACCCAGTACCGTTCGCTTCAAACACCATCGTGTTATCTCCTTAGCTACTGAGTCCTGTTAGCCACTTGCTTGTGCAATGGGGTAAAGTTTAAATTCACTTGATATTGTTTACTTGAATCTTCGTATTGATATTTAGGACTGCAATTGTTCAGTCTGTTTAAGGCATATGTGCATAATGTGCGTATCGCCTTAATTTACAAACATTATGAGCAAAGATGGATGCAGGTACATCCAACTGACGAGTCCCAAATAGGACAAAACGCGCGTCCTAGATCCCACTGCTAGCCACTATCCATCTTTTCTTATAAAGCTTGTGACTTAAGGCTATATCGAGATAGTCCATACAGTGTTCACATATGCCAATAAGAGACTGATCGATTGTAGTCCTAAACATCAATAGGAAGATTCAAGTAAACAAAACCAAGTAAATTTAACTTTTTGGTTATGATAAACGAGCAGTGAATAGGTTTTCATAGGAATTTCTCTAAGTTATTGTTGGTTATTATATTTTTCGCCCTATATATGAATCATTTTTCTCTAATTTATTTTCTTTATGAAAATAATAATTATTTTTAATACTTTGAACGTTTTTCCGCTTGTATCTAATGTACACAAACATGGTGATTGAATTAGATTTCTCTCTCTCCATAGTTTCATATAAGGAAAAATACAACCATTCGATGAACAAATACATTTAGGAATCTCAAATCTTAACAATCATCTCTTTTTTAAGGTAGAAAACTTATTTGAATAACTTACTATTATTACTGCTATGACTATTAGCCATAAAACTCGTTTTATTCATGTTAATTTGTTCATTCGAAAAAGTAAATCACCATGGTTATTCATTTAACAAATATATTTGTATTATTTCGGAGAAAAAAATTCAAAATTATAATTGAATTCACGAACCGATCTAAGCTAGACCATCACTGAAAACCTGGAAGTACCAGATGACCGTCTCGTCCTAGTATGAGACTACCCAGCAGTACGCATTCACGATCTCTCACGTGAAACTCGAACTCAGGACCATCGGTCTCGCGCGCAGACTCTTAAACTCTAGATCACTGAACCGGCGTCCAATGGTGTTAAGGTCTAACCTCAAGTAATCCATGTCTTAGTTTAGATGGACTCGTGAATTAAACTCTGAAAATACTACAATATCCGCCAGTCCATATACTGATCAAAATTATAAATAATCTAATATGAAAAACATCATAAACTATACTTTAAAAAGTAAAAAAAAAACATAGAATTCATTGAAGAGATTTTATTTTAAAATAACTTATTGTGTTATTGAATATGAAATAGAGAGAATCCAGTGAAAAATTTTTTTTACGACGAAATCATTTACTGAGGTTGTACATTCGTATTTATGGTTGTATTGTGAATAAATGTCTATGAAACGGTAAAAAATTATTGCCTCACAAAGGAATTCAAGACTAAATATCAAACGAGCTTACGCAATATTCAAAAGGATCGGAAAGAATAGGAGGATGAAAATAACTTACGAGTCAAAATTATAAAAGGTAATTGTCCACTTGACAGATATGAAGAAAAACGAAAAACATAAAGGTCATAATAATAATAATCATAAACAGTTGTTAAAGGATCATAATAGATTACTGTTTAAAATTACGAAACATTAATTTAAAAAACAAAAGAAAACGTCAAAACATACTACAGAAGGGAAATAGGGCCAAGGAAGGATAAGAGGTTGGATGTATCGTTTTTGCACACATAGTCCAGGCTTGAACTGCTGAATCACCGACACTTCAGTGGTGCATAAGTTTTTGATTCAGCCTCCCTTCGATTGTGTAAATTTTAAGGGAAGACTCCTTTGGTGTGACTTGTCCAGAGTTCATTAGGTACTCTTGTATTGAACCGGTAACTGTTTTGTATTCTTTTTTTGAAAGCTGCTCCGGGTAATGTCCTGAGATGCGTTTGGAAAGTGATCGCATTGTGGAGCCAATGTAACCTGCCTCACAGAAGCAAGTAAATTTGTAGATGTACATCAAAGTTTATCCTTAACACATCAATGAATAGTAGGGAGGCTTGAGAAGACACTACAAACCCTAGCTATATAGAAGGCTTTTACACAATTTTGAAACCCGTTATTCAAGATTTTGGCAACCGTATCTCTTATAAACTCGGTATTCGTAAAACGAGTTTCATTTTAAACTATCGGCGCTTTTTCAGGATGTTGTCTTTGTTTTAAGTTCCTATCAACGAATCTAGGTGGATAACGATTTCTAATGAATATCTGTGGAAGTTGAAGTAGTTCGTCATCTGTTTTGTTATTAGAATATAATCGCTTAGTCTTCAAGGACAAAAAGTGAATTAATTTCCTCTTTCTACTCGATGAGACTCAACTTTGGAAATCCGTATACTGACCATTTGAGGTCGGTTTTTTAAATGTAGATGTCTGAAAGGAAATATATGACCTTTTTTCTAACCGGACATCAAGAAAATGAAGTTCCTCATTCGCCTCTGCTAAAATTGAGAGATGACGGCTATTGAATCGATCCAAAATTTCACTGAGGTCCACATCTTCACAAAAAAGAAAGGGTCATTCATACAACTCATATAAATGAAATCTCTTAGTCATTGGTCGAAGTAACATATTTTCCGATGGGCTATAAAAACGTCATCCAAATGGTGAACCCATTGCAACCCCATCCGTTTGTCTATGAAAATCATTATTGCATCTGAATTCGACATTGAGAGTACATCGTAGAAGTAGATCTTTCAGATAATATTTTGGGATATACATATCAAAGTTGTTATATCTGAAATTATCACATAAAAACATATGGTTTTTGTGAAACATTTATGAAGAGATAAGTTACATCTAATGAGATCCAGGTTAGCAGTGTTGGGGTTCGACATACAGTAATAAGCAAAGTTGATAAATTGATTGACGTGGTTGTGAATCGACATAAACGTAGGGTGTTCATGGACGCATTACTTATGCCCAAACACCACCCACCTTGACGCATGATAAAAGTTGGCTCAGGACTAAGCTGGTAAAGTGCTAGGGTTAGTCGAACCAAAATGTGGTATCACATCATAAAATAATCGACTATGTAACCATGACATAATGATTAGTGCAAACTATCTAGTTAAGGTCAGCGTCAAAACTTAAATCCATGGTTTAAAACATTAATTGACAAGCTCAGAATTGGTCATAATGGTACAGATACTTTTATTTCAACTGTAGGATAATCAGTCAGATGAATGAATACTAAGCATAAATTGAACGGTAGTGGTACTGGAATGACATCGAAAACAGATAGACCAGTATGTGTGTGGGAACAGTAATAACAATGGTCACTTTAGTACCAGTCGTTATTCACTCTTCCTACAGTTCAGTTCCACTTATAACTTCTGATGCTACTATAGTCATTGATTGATGTAAATGGAGTTTGTGCATGATTTGACTGAATGCACTGTCAATGATATTATTACACCGTATTGTGAATTATCAAAAGTTAAGAAACATTTTAGATCTTTTAAAAGCTTCATTGGTGTATATCTAGAAAGTGACTGACATAAACTCCCATCATTATTGATAAATACATAAAAATCTTTATTCTACTCTTTAGTAAACTGAAATCACGAAATATATTCATTTCGGAACTATCGGAAAAATCTCTTGTTCGTTCCTATTAACATGGCTAAATTCAATTGTCGGTGACTTTATGGACTGATTCCAAATTTTCGTTTGGTCACCCCTCACTTTCTTCCAGACAACTCCTGCACCAGGAAACATCGCCCGTTGTTGTAGGCTGTGGTTGATTATGTGTAACATATGATGTGGTATTAGTATGACATAAAGTCATAAAGTGACCACTCCCCTCTCACAGTTGAAACACTTGGAGCTATGAAATATACATGATTTTTGTACGTGCAATTTTTCATAAGGTAAATATTTACCAGTCTACACCTAACTTTATGTTGTAATAAGTTAGAGTTTTTTTAATGCCTTGTTAATTATCTTTTCACAAGAATTAACATTATTATCAAAGGTGAATTTAAATGGCTACGAGAATGTGTAGTTGATTATGACAACTGAGCAATATATTAGAAATCGTCAGAGACAAGAAGTCCATTTTATTTAGTGCTTCATAAATAATACACGCAGATCTAACGTCTTGAGATGAGTGTTTTGGCAACTCTGTCAGTTATCTTTTTAGATTTGATGTGTAGTAGTCCTAGTAATTAACTGACCATGCAGTTGAACACACAGGTAATGACTAAAAATTACATCTCACAGATTAATTTTGGAGTTCAAGAAAGAAATCTTTTATGTTTTGATCATATTGACGAGTTTTTTGTTGAATTTTGCACTCTCTCAAAGCTTAATGTTGATGCACTTTTACATGACAGAGTATTAATGTCTCAAAATCTTTCTGTGGCGATTGAATACGTTCTTTATAAAACACTATAAGCCATCTTTACAGGTGAATGTAAGCAATTCAGCAGCAATTTGTTCCTCCTTGGTCAATTTTCCCATCGCATCTACGAATGGGCTAATGCACATAGTGAAAATACTATTGTTGACTAATATGACGACATTATTGCATCATTTCGATAACGTGCGCAACATTTACAGAGTGATCATCGTTCAAAATAAATAACAGTAAATTATTACACTTGGTACATATTTACATTTTCATACCACATGAATAGAGGGATTTTAAAATTCTAAATAATAAAAATGGTTATCTAATATAATTATAAATTTGTTAAAAAAGAACAACTCTTTGTTTTAAAACAATTCTTCATTGTTGATATTCCAAAAAGGAATGTAAAATGAAGAAAGAAAAATACATTGTATATAAATGAAACTATCTTTAGGTTACAATATTATGCCTACATTTGTGATCATAAAACATTATTGAAATGTCTCATGTCTTCAAATAAACATCCTTATCAAAAGACTCAACAAGCTAGGAGAATAAATATGGAGCCTAGCGGAGTTATTAATTTTTACTGGTAGGTATCAACATACACAAAGGGAAAAGCAAGATTCTCCGATACAATACAACATGCAACAATCCGATCACAATTGACGGAGAAGATTTGGAAGACGGAAATACCATTACATATTTGGGCAGCATCATCGATGAACACGGTGGATCTCATGCAGATGTGAAGGCACGGATCTGCAATGCAAGAGCAGCATATTTACAACTGAAGAACATCTGGAACTCAAAACAATTAGCAACCAACACCAAAGTCAGAATTTTCAATACAAATGTCAAGACAGTTTTACTGTATGGGACGGAAACCTGGAGAACTACGAAAGCCATCATCCAGAAGATACAAATGTTTATTAACAGTTGTCTACGCAAAATACTTCGGATCCGTTGGCCAGACACTATCAGCAACAACTTACTGCGGGAGAAAACAAATCAGATCCCAGTGGAGGAAGAAATCAGAAAGAAGCACCGGGAATGGATAGGACACACATTGAGGAAAGCGCCCAAATGAGTTACAAGGCAAGCCCTCACACAGAATCCTCAAGGCCGAATGAGGAGAGGAAGACGAAAGAACACATTACGCCGAGAAATGGAGACAGACATGAGAAAAATGAACAAAAATAGGATAGAACTGGAAAGAAAGGCTCAGGACAGAGTGGGTTGAAGAATGCTGGTCAGTGGCCTATGCTTCATTAGGAGTAACAGGCGCTATAAGTAAGTAACTAACAGGAGAGGATGAAAATGCTAAGATGAATTCCAAACGAATTGGAAACAATATAGTGGTAACGATAATGAGAAAACCAGAACATTGGGGATATGCATAGAGAAATACTAGGGTTCAAGATTAAGCGGAAATTAAAAACCTGACAGTTCTATGTAGAATTTTGTACAATAACTTAAGGTATGAGCTTTTAAAATGTTTTAAACTAGGAAGAAGCAATTCATTGATGTCTACTAGTTATCTGCAGTTCTTTCTGGATGATGTTTTAAATTTGTGATGCGAACTAAGTTTACAAGGGTTTTAGTATTTGTTCACTCACAAAATCTGTTGCTTTTTCAGATACAAATAAAATTTTCTCCATTTTCAACTTAAGTTTATTGAACACAGATTTCGTTTCAAATACAATACTTATCATCTTTGATTTCCTTATTGCGACTTTGAGATATTTTTATCTCCTATCCAAGTGTGTTCAACTGGGTATGGTCACAAGTTTCAGTGAACAAGGCCCAGACATAGAAATTTAAGATAAACATAGTATTTATAAAATCAATTGAGTGCACTATGGGCTTTTAATCTAAATAAGATCATTAAGAGACAAATTAGATATTTTATACAGTTGTAAATTTACACAAAATTAAACCTTCAAGAAAGTTGATTGTTAGCAATTTTAACAGCATCGTTGTTCTAATCAAATAAATGAGATAGTCTTTTATCGGTGAAACCACTCAAATTGCAATTTACTCAACTTAATAAAGTCTGACTGTTAACGTAGCATCACTACCCTCCAAAAAATTATTTGGTGTGAAGGGTATCTTATGAATACCACATCAGTGGATATCTACATAGCTATATGAATTTTGAACCGATATTCTAGCCCAGCAATCTCTATTAACGTTGCATCTAAACGAGCAAGAGTTGGCAGCCTGCTCAAGCTCTTGCATCACAATTTTCCCAAACGTCCATTTATAGCCATGAATTTTCTTGTCTCATATTTGTTTTAACTAACTAATTGTTTATTAATCTCCTGTACTTCAACACTTTCAAGAAGTACTTATGACTAGTCGAGTATCTGATTACTAATGAAGTGCCACCATCTTGGCTAGTATATTTTTTCTTCATTGTTCACTCGGGAAAAGAGAGACGACTACACTAAAACTCATATATCAAATACATTGAGCGATGAAAAATAAGTCATGAGATCAGAACTGATAGTAAGCATTTACGGGTGAATATGGATGCCTGTTAATCGTTATTCAAAGATTTTCTCAAGGTTTTTTTGAATATTCATAAGCTGAATGTCTGTAAAATGAGTATTTTGTTGCAAATTAGCATATTTCATGGTGCAAGTTACTTAATGTAATCAAATAAATGGTATTACATGTAACAGTTATTATTATTATTGCTACCACCTCTTGTAGACTATAAATAGAATGAGAAAATGAAAAGTAACCAAAACAACAGAACATATAAAAAATGTGTCGTAAAACTGGGATAAAACATGTCTTTTATCGTGTTTATTCAAGATATAATTACACTTCCTAGCGAGAGACCCTCATAAAAAACATTAACACTATAAATTTATTTGAACTTGCATATATAGAACTCAAGGTGGGTAATTGTGCCACGATGCAAAATGAGTAAAAACTGGAACCAGTAAGTATGATTACAGTAGTAGAAAAATAAAATTGATGAGCGGGCCGCTTTTGAACGGTTCAAATTATTACAGGGTAAAGCAAAAATATGCATTAAAAAAAGTATTTTGACAAAATTAATGATAATATCAGGCTATTCAAACTAAGTTCAGAAAGCGTATCATCGAAAAGTCTACCTATTTAATAGCTATTTCGGTGCAGTGATTACCATTATGATTGTTCAAACTTCTTTCTACAAGGATTAATACCACTCACTTACAAACAAAATAGAATACAGTATAAATATGCAACAGCTTAATTTACTAGATTTGGAACTGTCACAAAATCTAAAAACAAAACAACAACAACTAAACGTCAAACTAATAGTAGATTAAATGGTTCTTAAAGCTAAGCATGGGGAGTATATTTCTAAAAGAATAAAGTAGAGAAATAAAAGATATCATCATGTTATAACTCAAAAATCTGTAGAAAGTAAATAATGAATGAATTTTCGCCATCGAGACCTATTGTGACATATTTCGATTAATTCTCCTATCAATAAATGATTATCACCATATACATTCTAAACAGTAAGTTTGAGCATCCTAGCATTTATCAGACTGAAACCTACGAAATATATAAGCCGAGAACAATATTTTGAGGTAAGATGTCTTTACTTAATGGATTTTATTCTTCGTTGGTGTACAAAACGTTTATAAAAGCTAGGGTAGTACTCACGAGCTTGTGCATAACATTCGACAAAGAGCACGTGCTGCATTCAAATCAAAACCATCGGCACATATTGTACCCCATTGATTTGTTTGGGGGTGTTTTACTTCTACGCGGCCAGCATTGTTTGTTCCATCTACCAAACGAATAGACGAGTAGTCAGATGAGTTACCTGAAAATTTTACAAACACATTTTATCATGAAAAGGCTGTGTACGGTAACACACGAAACAGCGTAAAAGAATGCGCTCATCCAAAAAAACCTACAAATAAATACACATCAAATTGGATAGTGATAAAATACAGCTGCTTTGGTTGATTAAATGTTCACTTGGTAAAATGCAGACAGCTTACTCCTAAAATAACTAACTACCTTGTATGGCATGCTATTCTGTAGTGTTGGTACTAGCTGATAATGTTTTTACATTTGATTGGGTGTTTGTCACGAATTACAAATAAAATACGTTTGGTTGTGTTCATCTAGTTTCAACTGCCTTAAATTAAACTATTCAGAGAATCCTTAGCCAACAAATCGATTCGAATACTTCTAATTATCATATATTCATAGACAAATAAGCCAACACAACAAAACACAAACATACAATAATTGAAGTTTCATGGCCAAAGTATCTAAAAGTTAGTGGCGCCTCACACGTAAAGCTAAAAAGACTACGCATCAAGGGTCACCGATGCCAAAAAATATGATCTGGGAAGAGTTCATGAAACGCCACTAGTAGGACATGGTTTCTAAAAACTGGCGTTCACAATGTGAACGATATAGTACACACATCTAAATCTGGTGTTTACTTCTAATGATATAAACTTAATTCTGAATGACCAAATAGTGACGCTTTTAAGTCCAGCGTTAGAAGACGTAATTTTTTATCTGGAAGATGCCAGTTGCTTCCGAAAAGTTTAAAATACCTATTACTTGCGACTGTCAATAAGAACGAAAAGGAGGTTGATAGATTTTTGTTAATTAGCTCCGTACATACATCAGAATAGGAAAACATGGTCTTAGTAATAGGCCACACTATGTCATATACACTGTAAAACTAAACCGAAATAATTACAACTTCGAAAGAAATTGGATTTAAAAAAATGAACAATAGTAAAATAAAGTTCATGACTGACTTGCCGTAAAAGAGAGTTTAATAGGTAATTCACCTACCCTAAAAACCGGTTTTATCAATACAAACAAGAAAATTAACAAGTAAAAGAACAGCGTAGCAGCTAATATGTAACTAAGATGCAATTTAATGACATTGGCAAAATAGACGTAATGTACGATGATAGGTGTGATACGTTCTGAGCTATCGTCAAACAGTTGCAGAAACTAACCCTCCTTATCTCCAACAAAACATTTGAATACAAAACATTCTTTAACGTATTTAGGGTGAAAATATAATTATAAGTAAATTGACTTTCTGTTTTTTCTCAAAGTAGACTGAGGTTACTTTGACGAATTAAATTATTGCAGGTTATCAAAGCGGACGAAAAACTTTATCTCAATGTTTTTTTAACCGAAAAAACATGAAAGCAAGACAGCTTTGATACTTGCTAGTTGATTACCATAAAAGTTTCATTTTAGGTTATGCAGATAATTTTGTAATGAACAGTATGTAACTGCTATAAAATGGTGTTACCAAGTAATTGTATTAAGTTTCGAAATATTTAATTTAGCAAACATACTCATACTCCAAAGCACTTACAGTTAACGGGAGCCAACGTCATATAGTTTGGAGCAGGAGTAGTTGTAGTTGTCGTCTCAGCAGGGTCTAGACAGACTATTGAAGTCTGTCGATTATTTGATAGACAGGTAGAAGGAAACTCGGTTGCAAAGGAACAAACGCCTAAATGTGTAGTGGCAGTGCTAAGTAGGCCAGATGTCAAAAATACTCTCCCAGTGCAATTAAATTCCGACAATAAAGGAGACGAATTAGGACTTCGTCGAAGGCTGTTCATTATCGGGACACCGCGAGGTGGACTGAAAATAAGTAGAGAAACACTTACAACCCGAGCATAAAGCATGCAACTGACGCAGCCAGTTCGTCGAACCCAATGTTGCAAATAGTTCCCCAAGTACCGTTGTAATTAACTTCCAACACACCATCACGCCCTTCAGGATAAAGACTGGTTTTCGGAGCCAAGCGTATAGCTCTGATGCCACCGACTTCTGAAATACCTTATTCACAATTTTCTATTGTCTATTATTTATACCTGTCTGCGCATCAGAAGTTAAGAAATAGGAAATAAAGTCGAATACGAACAAGAACACATGCATTCCTTCGAAATACCGCCTTTCGTTGCTACAAGAGAAAAGGTGGAAAACTGTGCGAAAAAAGAAAAAGGTCAAACCAATGAAGTAAAAAATATTTTAAAACCGCTAACCATGCTTTATTTTTTAGGTGAGTTTTTGTGAGCTAAATTGTTCATTCTAACTTCATTTTGTGCTGTGGCATAGTTTCGGATCATTTGTAGATGCTCAACACACTTTAGAAATATGGTGATAAACAACAAGAAGGTATAATCATTGATATTTTAACGAACAACAACGGAGATCAACATATAGATATCCGCAGATCACACTCGCACATGATGCACGCTACTTACTTTTATTTAGGCCTGTTACACCTCGCGGAGGAGCATAAGCCGTCAGCGCTAACCGCACGAAGTTTGGCGATTTCCCTAATGTATGTCCAACCCACTTTCGACGTCTTTTCCTAGTTTGCTTTTCAGCTGGTAGTCGGTATGTCCTCTCCCATAGTAGGCTGTAGCTGTTAGTATCCGGCAAATGGATGTTGAGTATTTTATGTAGACAGCTATTTAAAAACACTTATACATTCTTGATGATGGTTGTAATGATTCTGCAAGTTTAAGCTCCGCACAGTAGAACCGTTTTGACGTTCGTACCAAAAATTCTGACTCTGGTAGTGATTGACGATTATATTTGATATTCAAACACATATTACTGACTGAATCCTAAGTGTAAACAGTTTTAGGGGAACGGAGGAAGCACATGTTGTGCTCAGGTCAAACAAAAGCTTTTCATCGAAAGTAATACGTTCCTTTCGGACAATGTTTTCTTCTAAATTACTTCAACCATACTTTCTAGTTGTCAAACACATTAAATTCTCGAGTAAAGTAGAGATGCAAAAGGTGAGTTTCCACCTGACCAAAATAGAAACAAACGAGTAGAAAGACAAACAATCAGTTTTAGTCATTATGAAACTCAAATCAGGCATCGCTGCTTCTCACTTTATCCTTAATTTTTACTATCAGCCGACATGGTTTCAAAGAAAATCTCCAGATGTTTTTGTTTGATTGATATTCAGCTTATCATCACCTGTGTCTTCAGTGCATAATCTTCTGGCTCTGTGGTGTAGAGAATTGAATAAAATCTTTTACCTACCTACTCATAGAACCCAACTTTAAAAGTTCCACTTAAGCCTGTTTTACATCATTTTCACTGACCGAAGCTTTAATAAATTTGATTGTATCTGATAGTTTTGTAAAACCACTTTATTTTATCACAGATTGCTACATGCCTATTTAATCACCAATAAATACGGTTGTACAGTTCCATAAAATGATTTCGTCAAGAAAAACATCTTCACTTAGAGTTCTTCATTCTTTATTTGACGAATCAGTGCACTTTGTTTTTTTTCAGAATTAACTTTTACTGAATGTGTGATCGTCATGTCATTATGTGGAAGTTATTCTGTATGAGTCACTACTGTGTTTGTTTGTGGGTGTGTGTACTAGTGGTCTGTGCAGTGTAACATTTCTTGTATGAAGTATCGGAGTGAGAACTTCAGTGTGCACATTTCAGTATGTGGTAATTGTTTGATAGATAAACAGGTTACATGTGGCTGCTTTTAATTTCTCAGTTATTAATCTATCAATTCATTCTAATGATTGGAACGACGTATACAGATGTATGAAATTGGCTCACCAAGAAAAAAAAACAAATAGCTTCTCACATTCACTTTAGTCCGCATATATTAAATTTCGTTGCGCTTTTCAATTAACTCATTCTAAAGACAGTGTCATTCGATCAATGATAATGATTTATGAAAATAATCATTGAAATGAAATGATGTTCAAATGAGCTATTGTGAAGCGAACGAGAAGAATCTTATGTATTCGAACACAACATTACAGAATGTCTTGGTAAAATCTGAGAATCTTCTGTTTCCAGGCATTTCACTTTCGACTGATGCTACATGCTACTTATATCCGTTGGCATCAGTAGCACACACCACACTGGACCTATCAGGAAGACAGCGCTTACCCACCGAGAGTGTTCTGCCTCTTCTTTGTATGAAGTCATGTCAGTATTATTTCCAGTTGTACTAGCTTCTGTACATTTATTTCAAACCGTTTTCTATAAACTTACGTTTATGCAAACTGAACTGACCAGAAATCCCTGTGTAATATTGAAAGGTAATGAACAATATCGTAGAGGACACTCTTCTCGGCTTGCAAACCAGTAAAGATATTGATGAGGGGGTGAAGTGATTCGGTGAGAGGTGTCAAGTTGTATTCAATGTAATAATTAAACGAATGATGAGCATGAAGTGCATGTTAGGAGAATTAGATTGTAGACAGTGGAGTTAGTAATGAACACAATATAAATATCAATAATAAAAATATTATTGGTATCATTATTCGTATTCTTACATTATCAGTATCAGTGATAGTGATTGTAATGTAAATAATAATAAAAGAACGTAGTGTGAATTTAATGTGCTATGAAAGGGTTGTGCTAAAGTAATTGTTTTGAGAATTTACAGTGGATTGAGAGAATTGAATGTGCAGATTGGGACGAGATAGGATATATATGAACACTAGGAGAATCAAACGATAAATGGGCAACAATAATCAGTCAACGTGTAAAGTCAAAAATATTCCATCACAAGTGTATTAAGGAGATGGTGGCATCTTTGTAGCTTCGATTCACAGAATGATCTTAGTCAAAACACCACTGGAAGTGTCCGGACACTGAATGACCGTTTTGTTATTGTGTGTTACTTCTTAATATAGCACATTACCGATCCTAAATCCAACACTACAATGCACAACCTTCCCTTTGTTCTTGTGCATGGTTGCTTAACCCCTAGATCGCTGAGACGTGATCCATATGTTTTGATGTGAAACTTTGGTCGATTCACAATTTTGTGAAACCTCCTTCCGTTGCTTATAGTTCATAACTGCTTCACATGGGATATGGTTGAACAACGCTGGTCACCGTTTCTCACTGTTACACCACCAAGCACATATTGCAACTGAAATATATTGTACAAAATCTAGAAACAAATTGATTACGACAATTTTATGGAAAGATTTGGGGAAATGATGAAACATTGAAATTCGCATTTGCTACGTAGCTGAATAAATTATCTCACTAAAATAAACATGTTTATATACACCGTGTATCTGGCTGATTACTTTTTAAACTTTTGAATGTCAAATTGAATGTGCAGATTGTTAACTGACCATGTGATAAGTGTGGATGAGTAGAACCGTGTGATAGATTGATTAATAAGAATGTTGCATTAATTCAATGCTTCTGTTTTTTTAAAGATGCAAAAAAACTTTCAGTGATTCTGATGTGAAATATTATTCAAATTTTACTTATATTACCATTATACTTACTTTAATCAATCTCATTTGGATAAGATAATCCGAATGATGACCCGTTACTTCAGTGATTAATTTCTTTTGATACAGGTGATGACAGGTCTTGACTAAGACTTCGAATGTCGCTTTTCAGATTCGTACTTTAATTGAGCAGAGTAGTGTTGTCCATATTTTGATGAACGGTATTCTACGTGCACACTCTTCCGATAAATTTTTTTATTACTTTCTGTTTATACTCAGTTATCAGGATGCCAATACAGAATATTCACGTATTCTATCACAGTGATCTAATAGTTCTTTCTTAAAATCTACAATAATTAGTTGTCTTGTGTGCAAAATCAGATGATGAAAATACCCTTGAGGTGTTGTGAATAATTGTGAGAAACGAAACCGGGATATTATTTGTAAAATCATTCTCCAAATGTTACTGAATAATAAATATTGAGCATTGGTTAAATTTTCACACCTCTTGTTGTAAAATTGCAGTGTCACGTCTGATTATGAATGACAGTGCAACGGTATCTTGAAATTGTTCATATTTGTGAATATGTCTTCATTATCACGCTCAATACACAATAGCGAATGCCAAGTAATTCGGTTATTTAGGTAGAATATGGTGATTAACAACAAAAAATTCATGATGACTGATATTTCTATAAACAACAACTGAGGTCAACAGACAGATCACACTCTCGGATGATGTACACTATTATTATCATTAATGTTACTTTTAGTGAAATATTTCGTATGCGATGACGCATATTAGATTAAAAGAACTGAAATAGTAGATGTGATGACTATATGTAATATACAAACACATATTCCTGGCTGAATCATCAAGTAACAGTCGTCAGTGAAAATAGTTTTAAGATGACGAAAGAAGTTCTTTATGACAACCATATTATAAATAGAAATTAATATGATGTTTATTGTTACAGTACCAGTGCTAATGATATTGATTGTAATGTAAATAATATTGAAAAGAACGTCGTGCGGAATTATTGTGTAATGAAAAGAAGACATAGTGTGGTGAATAGAAAGCAGAAATCGAATAGTTAAAAGATCGACTGGAAATAACTGAATAGGATTGTCCAGGACAGTGTTGGATGGAGAATGCTAGTGGGAGGCCTAAGCTACGACGAGGTGTAACAGTTGTACGTAATCGTTGAAAGTGCTCAACGAGTTCCTGAAGCATAACGTAAATTTCACTGAAACGAAAATTACTAGCTCAAATACTAGTTGTAAGTAAGTTTGTTAGCGATCAATACATGTAAACTTCGAGAGAAATTTCTTAATCTTTTTCAACTTGTTCATTTGGTCAGCTCAGGTACTTCATGATTACAATCAAATGTCAATTTTTACAACTGACTTCAGCAGAATTCATCAGCTGAGAATACAGTGAACAATAAACGTCAGATCAAATCTCGTTTATTCACACCTAATACTCCTTACGTTTTCATTAGTTATCGAAACTAATTATGATCGGAACGTGAGGTTATTTTGAGTTTAACATTGGTGTATTCATAGTAAGCACAAATAATGTATTGGTCTCCGTTGAAGATGTACTGAAGAAGAAAGAAGTAATTCGATAAGGAATAATTTTTGTCTGGATTAATAAAGAACACTGAAGTACAAGAAATGTAACCAGCAGGTTGTTTAGACGAGCTCTTGTG